TTTGTTCTTGTTCACCCGCAAGCATTCGAGCCATTTGCATTTACATATGCGCATTGCTTTCTGCACATTGTATTTAATTAAAATTTGGTGTAATTTTAGAATGGCCGGGAAATGCGGCCATAAAGCAGCCTTATATGACAGCAGCAAGGACAACCATGGTGGTTCTGATTTACAGGATACAGAATTCGATTTGTGAATGTGTGCGTAAGTGTATTAGTGAGTGGGCGGCACATGGCAAATAATGAATGTCCAAAAATGCAGTAATTTATCGGCATGTTTATCTGCTACTCATTACTCGGCAGCAAAAGTAGAGCCAGCCGCAAAATCTGCATAAATATCAAATGTAGAGCACATGAGTATGTATCATGTTGCCAGAGGTCCTTTTTTGCGGAGGGAGAAGCGAGGCCAGGCGGGGCGGACCAGGGCAGAGCATTGCAAATGGCGATAAGCAATATTCAGTTTTGTTAATGGCCGGACGGCAAATCGGGGCAATTCAATTTGCTGGACCAGGACGTTCATCAATTTCGCTTGGCAAATGCAAATAGTAAAATGATAGCCAAATATTTATTGTGGCCCGCATAATGAGTGAGAAATCTTGTTTTGGCAACCAAGTCAGGTATCTGGCCCAAAACGGGCAGGAAGCCATCTAGCCGGGCCAGATAACACATTTGGGATGGGATGGAATGGCCAAGCCCAGCCAGCAACCAGCCAGGATGATTTAACTCTATGCATTTTGCATGCAAAGCAGCATCGTCATAAGCATTAAAACTAATGCGCCGAAAAGTAGACTATTAAAAATGTAAAGTCAACTTTATTAGCTCAAACGAAAATGTTGTCATTTGCAAATGTGTGTGTCTCTGTGTGCTGGCTTGCCCTTTTATGCTAAATCTAATTCTACAGCACAGAGTGGTATACTACAGGAGGGTTGGCATTTAATTCATAAAATCATTTTTGAAGCAAAATAGCTTTTATGGCTGTGACTGAACTTCTTTACAATTTTTCGTTAAGGTAGGTAATATGTATATCACAGCTTTTATTATTACTACATAGCCTCTGGCCCAAGACTAGCTTTTTAATAATAACCCTTAAAAATACAAAATATTTAACCCAACAATCCATCAGATTTGATTTTCGATAGAAATCCTAAAAATTGTAGATTTCACAAAAATCTTAAAAACAAAATTGATTTTCTTATCACTGACCGGTCTCTGGGAAATTGAATATCCCATTCACCAGAGCCGCTGGCAACGGCAATGGCAAACAGAATTACACAAACATACTCACAAACTAACACATTAGGCGGCGTTTCCTTTGCCAAAGTTGGTTGACTTCGTTTTTCGGGGCTGCCGACAAAATGGAGACGACAACAAAATACAAGAACAACACTAAAAACTGGAACAAGAACAACAACAACATTATCAACATCAACAACAAACAAATAAACTGACAGACACTCGTTTCCGTTTTCAAACAAAACAGACGCCATATTTAAAATTCCAAACGGGCGCCCGGCAACAGCAGCCGAGCAATATAAGCAAACAAATGAAATAACAGAAAATTGCCGTTTGCTAAAAACTTTTGCTTTGCTTTTTCCTTTTTGAAGTTATTTTTTTGCCATTGTGGAGCCGGTCTTCGGCTGCCAAAACAAAGAATTCAATTTAGTGGGCCGAGCGTTGATGTGGACAGGTTCATTGAACGGATAGGAGATTCCCTCGAATGCGCATAATTTGTACGCATCATTCATGGCTTGAACTAATTGTGGATTTATGCCAGCGAAAAACGCTAGTGCAAATCGCCAAAAATTCGCCAAGCAAAGGCGAATGGAGGGGCGCAAACATTTTGGCAGCTCCGACCATTTTGGATTTCAGATTGTTTGGCATTTATCATAGCGCTTCGGAGCCCAAAACTTTGCTGACCGGTGGCCGTGACTTCCGTGCACCAGAAATGAAATGAAAGATTTATTCCAGATTCTCATGACGAGATAGGGTGTTGTAGCCTTAGCCCTGGCACAAAGGACACGTAGGTCAATAAAAATGCCATCGCCACTGGCCGGGGGCTCTACAATTGAAGTTGTATATTAAAATGATTTGTGTGGCCAAATTGCTGTTCAGTCGGTGCACTAATTTCATGAGAAATGCATGAGAAAACAATCAATAAAAAGATAAGAAAGGGTTTCATGTGTGTGATACACAAAAAAAAATTTTGTTTAGTCTTAAGCATACAGAACAATAGTCTAGACTAGATAGAATTACAAAATCTGGAAGAAAACTGTCTCATCTTTTTAAATTTTATAATTTGTCCAGCATTTATTTTATAATAAATTTTATAACCTCATACACTCCTAAAAGCTTTCTCAGTGCAATAATGTGTGTTTACGCTTGAACTTCTGCAGTAAACTGCGCCTAGGATAAGGATGAGTTAGGATGGCCTAAACCCTTCGGCTAGAGCATTAGAAAAATCTATAAAATCGCTGGGCCCGTCAGGACGCCACCCATACATGCCAATAAAATATTTTATCAAGCGTACGTGCTGCTATTAGTCTCCTTCATCTTCCCGTAAAGTCTTCGACCTCGTCGTCGTTCCCGTTCTCGTCCTTGTCATTACGTCACACGCACGCATATCAAATGACGGCGTTGATGTGTTGAAAGCCCAGACGGGAAAGTTGAGATCGAGTGAATGAATGTGCGGGCGGTCAACCCTTTTTTACGGCTGGTCAGTGGAGCTGGAGCACTCTGGCATGTGGTCGGGTCTCCTCTCCGGCTCAATGCGGCCCCTCCATGTCCCTACTGTGGCACTCGTGCCGCTGCTGGTCTCTGATTATGCGTCGTGCGGCCATAAATTTATATTGAAAGACGTGCGCTGTTAATCAAATTAAAGTGTTTGATTAAATTTTAAATAAAACTCTAAAGTGCTGCCTGTCTCTCCATTTATTATATCGCCTTCTGCGGAGCTGTGTAGCTGCAGTAAAAACTGCAAAATGAATATAAAAATGTGAATGAAAATTAATTTAAGAACACGTGGCGTATGCGCAATATTCAATTTATGAATTATGCGCCAGATTATTAATTAAATTTTCTTGTTCTGTGGTGGCTGTTTTGAGTGGCATGATGGTAGGGGGGCGATGCCACTAAAAGTTCAACCAGTTAATCGGGGCTAAAGAGAATTTCGGAAACGTGTCGCAAAGTAGGCAGAATATTTGGATACTAGCTCCGTGGAAGTGCCGAACACTTTAAAGCGCTTAACGGGCCAACTGAAGTTAAATAACAATTTCACTGCTCATTAACCCTAATTTGTATGTAAATTTTTCGGGTGCCCCAGTTGGCCCGAACCACCCCGCCCCGACTCCTGGGATGCAGTGCCGCCTTTTAAAGACGAAACGCCATTTTGTATGTTTTAAGTAACGCACATGACACGGAACGATGGGAGTTACTAACGGAAATGGTCGACGGGGGAGTGGCAGCGAGGTAGGGGAAGATTCGGGCGGCCAGAGCTACCGGCCGTGGCCATTATGGAGCTCTGGTGCTGTCTTCAAGCTGCAAATAGTGCGGGGCATGCAAAGTGCAGGAAACGGCTGCCACAAAAGGGAGCAAAAGAGATGGTCCAGGACGAGAAGGACTCGCGAGAAAAAAAGGCGAGGAAGATTGTTTGCCTGTTGCCCTCATTCTAGCGTTCTCGCCACGCACCAAAAGCCCCATCTTCCATTAATTCATCCGCCGCCATGCAAACAATAGGCCTGCAACCACTGTGGTTGTCACTTGTCTGTGGAGTTGCCAAAATTGCTACAAAAATGCATAGAAATATTCTCGTTTTTATCTTCATAAAGTTCCAATGAAAAATATGAAAAATATTTAGATGCGACCATTAAATCATCCAAAATAACTCCTTTATAATTTATAAAAACAGAAAAATTCCCAAAATTTTTGAGCACACAAGAATCCATGAGTTCGCATGCCAACCGTGCCTTTTCCCAGCTCGGAATGGAATTTCGCCAGTCATTATCGGGATGTTATTGTTGTTCTGGCAGCAACAAATGTAGCTGAAAATGGATAGCCAAGGAGCTGAGAGCTGGGGAGGGAAGCGTTCATTAAAACAAAAGTGAGTGCATGTGCAGACGCTTGCCACGCAGGACACTCTCGCCAACTGGCAAGGACGCTCTCGCCAACTGGCAAACGGCAAACAAGAAATGACAGCAATGCAGCCTTGTGCCATGCAAATTCAATAAATTACGGCAACGACCATTAATTATATTTTAAATTGCAATGTCCACACACTCGCAGGGGAAAGTTTTGCTTTTGTTTCCCACGGCACAGTGACAGTGAAAAAGTTCCACTCATTCACCGGGCAAATTGTCGCAGTTTATCTCCTCCGCACGCATCGCGAAAACCAAATGAACGCCGTCGCTACCCGAGCCGCCTCAGCCTCCAGCCACGCCCCTTTTATCCCCACGCCTGATTCAGTGTGTGGCACAACAAATAAACCACTTTGGCCATATTCCCAGGCATAAAGGATAAATAAATACAGAAAAGGAAAGCTCCGACAGAAAACAAAAAGGGGCGGAGGCAGTGGGTGGAGCGATGCAACTCCAGATGCAACTTCAACTTTGGCCTTTTGGGCCAGGCCATCCCGGGCCCAGCGCCCGCTGTCCTGCCATTATTATCGCCTCGCGTAAACAATGCCCGAGACGTGCCTGTTGACAATGGCAGCATGTCATTAAGGGCGACGTCAGTAGCCGACCGCTGACGTGTTAACTGCAGTGCGTCCAACTTTTAATTGGTTTTAAGTCACAAGTTAATTTCCATAAAGCGGAGAGAAAATTCTGAAAAATCCCACAGCCAAGCTGACAATACACAGCAAAAGTGAAACATCAACTGTCAGTCAAAACTGTCATTTCAACTTTGATTGCAACTTTAGCTCATAGTTGATTTTTATAATTAAATACCTCTAAGCTACATATATTCATTAAAATTTCAATTTATTTCTCTTGATAAGCATTTAAAAATCTATTTTTTAGGCTTGCCCTTTTTTCCTCGCTTGGGTTTCTTCTTAAAAGGTCCCAGTCCTCGGCGAACCATAGTGCCGCGCCACCAGGCCTGCAGTCTCACGGCACAGTTGATGCGATGCACCTGGAGATCGTGCAGACGCTGCTCCTCGGCCTTCTGTGCCCGGTACTCCTGCACGAAGGACATCCGTTCGGCGAAGATCTCACGGTGGCGCACCAACAGCTTTTTCTGCTCCAGGATTCGCAGCTCCCACGCCTCGGCTTCGCGCTCCACCCTTCGCATTTCGCTGACGTATCGTTTCTTCCACTCCTCAATCTGTTGTGTCATGTCCTGGATTTCCCGCTGGCGAAAGGATCGCAGCTCGCAACTCACACGCTCCTCCCGGGCGATTCGCTGTTTGATGTCAAGAATGTCCCGCAAATAGGCCCGCTCCGCGTTCTCGCCCCAAATCGTTCCCTGGGCCAGGCGACCTTCCTCCCAGCGCTGCACCAAACTGTACTCGAGGTCGTTCACTCGGGACACGCAGCGCAGCTTGTACTTGGTGTCTGCAATCCGTTCCTCCAGATCCTCCAGCTTGGCCTTGGTGTCGCGCTTTTCGATGTCCAGTGCCTCCTTCAGCTGCTTCAGCTCGTCCTTAGATTCCTGCAACTTCTGGGACGCCTGGGATACTTCGCTTTTGTTTCCAGCCAGGGCATAGATAGCTTGCTTTAGGATCTCAAGACTCTTATCATCTGAAGGCGAGGGTTTTGTACCATCCTTGGAATCCTTGTCTTCTTCTGGAGCAGAGTCTTGCTCTTCCTCATCTTTGCTTTTCTTTTTATATATTTCGTGGCAATCATCTAAGGATTCTTGTTTCTGCCAATCAATTTGCTGCTCTGGAACATCCAGTGGTGCCTCTTCAACTTCGTGTTTCTCCTCCAAAGTTTTCTCGTCCTTGATATCCTGGAACTTTTTTTTCTCCTGCAATTCCACATCATTAATGGCTGCTTCGAATATTGTTCGCAATGCATCCATATCACGCTCGAACTTGAGAGAATTTAGAACATCTTCATCCAGTTGATCGGCATCATCCTCGGGTTCACCCAGAAGGGACTCCAGCCGTGGCAGGACTTTGCCCGTAATCAGAACATGTTCCTGTTTTTCGTGTCCACCCATCGACGAGCTGCGACGCCGCCTCAGGGAAGCTGGCAGAGATATTGGATTCCTGGCATTTAGACGCTGGGATCGCTGCTGCAATACCAACTGATTAAGAGTGTCCTTATAAATGGTCAGTAGCAGGATGCGCCGCAGCTCCTGCAAATGCTCCTGGCTATGTCCTTCCAGCATTGCTACTTGTGTCAAAGTGTTTTTTCGACAGAAGTCGATATGAGTCAGAGCCAGTGGGCTAACCCCGGTAACTGTTGCTAAGACTACCCTCGTAGAGTTCATAAATGTTTGGCTTTCGACATGAACCCGGGCTTTCGCTCATCCTTTCTGACTTTCTGACTCATGTACAGGGAAAGCCTTGGCGAAATCCTGGGGCTCCGGCTCTGGCTTGCATATTTCATTGCTGTCATCGTCCTCGTAGCTTACGTGCAAAAATGCCCAACTGGCGGAGTTGGGCACCCTTGGTGCACAGCAATCGTAGAATTTATTTTCCCGACTTCGACTGCCTTTGGCTTTCTTTTGGCCTCCCAGCCCAATCCCCCCCGCCGGCATCTGATCCTGTGTATCTGCCACAGCTGCCCTGGCTCTGTATCCTTGGGGTTCGTTCACTTCTTGGGCATGCAAGTATGCGTCTTTGTCATGGGCGCCGGCTTATGTGTTTAACCCAATAAATGCCGCGCTGATTGCAAGTTAAATTATTGGCGCACAGGACTCCAGACCCAGACCCGTATTACAATTAAATTATCGCATTAACCGCACAACCTGCACAACCCTGGGTCCGGGGCTCACTTTTCCACGATTTTCCCAGCGTGCCCGCGGCGACTGAGTTTAAAAATAAACCAAGTGCATGGACCTTTTTGAATACTTAAAGATGTGTAAGGACTAACAAGTACCCTATCAATGGTGCTACTTGGTGTTAGCTTTATAATATAAGCTATAAAGCTAAAGCTTTTTAAGGAAGAAATACAAAGTTATATCCATTAATTATTTAAAATATCACATTAAAAGAGACATTAAAAATAAAGAACTATAATATTCCGAATCAAGGAGTATCCGTTTATGATAGTAAGTCCTATGGCGCATCCTTTGGCGTAGATAATATAGCTCTTTAAAGGCAAACCAAACCAAAAAGTGGTCAATGCACCGGCAGTGTCAGAATGTCTGTGACCGGGCCAGGCAATTGTGAGAAATGGCAGGGCGGACATTAATTTAATGCCCGCCACTGTCTCGCACATTCACGGAGAGATAGAGAAGTGGAAGAGGAGGCCAGAGAGGGGCAAAAGGACACACATGGCGACGGCATGGGGAGCTGTACGTTCTTGGCGGGCGATTCTGCGTTCGGCTGCCATTATTTTTAATAGACTCCAAAGAAAAAGTTTTCAGTTTTCTACTTCATTGACTGCAAATCGGGAAAAGAAGCTCTCGGGTCGCGCTCTGCCCGCCACACCACTCATTCCTCGAATCTCGAACCGCTAAGGATGCCAGCCAAAATTAAGTGCCCCCAAAAAGTGCGCTGTGCACCGCCTGATAAGCATTCGCACTTAAACACACACACCATCGCAGCTGAAAAGGACGAAACGCCAGGCAACTGCAGCGTAAAGTCAAACACATAAATCGCCCGCTCGCCACAAGAAATTTTTGCCAGCAAAAAATTTTCAATTTCCATTTAGCAGGGGAGGGACCCCTCCCATCTTTTGAATGCAAATGTTCGATTATGACAAACTTTCCATTGATATCCTTGCACACCATACCACCCCGCCAATATCCGTTCAAAGAATGTCTTGGGTGCCAGGACATGCCAAGTTTGGCTGCTATTAATAACGTCAAGGTCCTGTCGCAAATTGTTGGCTCGAAATAATGAATATGTAAATATTAGACGCCAAGGAAGAATAGAGATACTTTTAAAAAGTAGAGGCCTTTAAGCACTTACAACATGTAATAGAAAAGAATAATTATAATTATAATTGTTATCATCATTCGGACATAAAATGTAAAAATATTCGTAAACAAAGCTTTGAAAATTACATGAAACCCGCATAGGTAATGGTCCTTAATTTTGGTCGCTTAGAAACAAGTTTTTTTTGTTTCCGTAGAAGCCCATGGACATCTACTACTTCATAAAAAACCCTTTCACACTATATAAAGTTCATCTCCATATGTATATCTTTTGTAATAATTGGTACTATTAAAAACCTTTATATTATTGAAAGTTAAGCGCCCTCTTTTTGGCAAAAGGAACTCCCCTGTTTTTCAAACCCAGACTCACTCAGTGACCGAAAGTCTGACGTGCAAAAACGAGGAACCGCGGAGATAAACAGCCGCACTTATGACAGCTCCTCTGACCCAAGCCCCGTTTGGTCCTTTTTGCGCTCGTTTGTTATCCCGTACATGTAAATAACCAAAAATTTTATATTGCGGGCCGCAACCACGACACCGTGACAACGCCGGCATATGCCATATGGAGCAGCCGGGACATGCGAAGCCGGCGAAAGGGCCAGAAGCAGGAACGAGTCAAGCAGGACACGGTGGGACATGGAGCTGCTGCGGCTTTAGTGGCAGGAACAGGAGAGTGGTCAGTGCTGACGCTGGGCACGCTGATGATGGCAGGCAGGAAAGGATACGAAAGGAGAGGACAGGACACGCCAGGACATTACAGGACAGTCTCTGTCCATGTGGTGAGTGTGTGAATATGTCAGCGGACGCCTGTGTCAGTGTGTTTGAGTGTATTTGAATGTGAAACAGTGGACTTGTGGGTGTGTGTGTGTGTGTGTGTGTGTAAGAGGTCCTGCGTTGTTGTCTGCGGCCGGGGGAGTGATAGACGCCACTACCATTAATTCACATTCAGGTGGCGCACGCTTGGCCGCACATTCCGAAAAATCAACACTTGGACAAAAAAAATAATCCAAAAAATATATGCTATATGCATTTTTCAACAAAAAAACTTCTTAAAGTGTATAAACATAACTATCATTTGATATTCAAAATAATAATAATATGTAAAATAGCTTCTTTATTTTTTCAAGTGTATTCCTTGGTTCGAGGGTGCGACAACAACATGTGTTTACACTCATCCGGACAGAGATGGCAAGAAGCTGGGCCCACTCGTGCAGGGAAATCCCGTGCAATGCATTATAAATGGGTCCACCGGGTCCGGTGACCCCCAGTCCACTCTTCACGTATTTTTTCCGGCTCTCCCCCTTTATTTTTTGGCAGGACTAAGAACGGACCAGACCGGGTCTCAAAAAGAACTAAAAGAAGTGACCTACTTGCCGGGCGTATAATTAGTGTACAACAACCACAACCGCGTCGAGCAAATGTAAAATTCATGGGGCGAAAAATCGAAAGTAAGTAAGTTGTTCCTCAATGCGTGGCACGTTGAGCGAGTCGAGTAGTCGTGAAATCGATAAGGCCGATTGTCCCTGGCCAATGCCAAGCAACCACCAAAATATACCCGTAAATACCCAAAGGAACTGCCAAGAAACAGGACCCACTGCCATGGCAACGCGACTCAACAAACAAATGCCAGTCAGTCGCACACATGCACGAACCCTTGTATTTAATGCGGCTATTCAAATAAAGTTACCTTAAAAATAGAACACACTATCGCATTAATGCCCTCCTCGTGCCAAGCGACAAACTGTGTCAATAGCAGAGTGCATTTGGCCAGTTGAGTCGGAGCCGCCAAGTGGTACAGTTCGCCAGAAGGCACCTGCAAGGATAACCAGACACTGACCAGCGATGTTTCCCCAGGCAGAGCTAGAGAATTACAAGCTGCAGGTGGAGCTTCTGCAGGAGAAGCTTCAACGCAGGTAAGGCTAATGTTAGATAATAATATTTGAGATACTGAATAGATGCATTAAAATGTTAATACATGTTAATGTAAACTTTCCTCAATAAAAATATTTCATCGAAGTTATCGAAGCAGAAACTAAAATAGAAAACGCTGCAACTTGAAAAGTTTATTCTGTAGTAACGACTCTTGTGACCTAACTTTTGAGTGGCATGTTGTGCTTTGATACCCCGGTGGTATTTGCGGCCAACTTGAAATGTCCTCCAGCAAAGCAAGCATTCCGCACAAAGGACTCAGCCATTGATGTGTGTAGGTCGGCTTTTAGTGAGCTTTCCTGGATGCATCACATGCAGCTGCTTAGAAATCCTTTTTAAAAGCTTTGTCTTTGATTTTCCTAATATTTTGATTTTGATTTTCATTTTTTTATTCCCTTTGCGCAGCGAGGATAATCGCCAGCAGTTGGAGCATAAGTTGGACAAAATATTGCAGAAGCGCAGTGAGCTGTAAGTAGCTTTTGATATTTTCCTCAATCGGCTGAAGGAGATGCAATAGTAAATACTGTATATTCCAGGGATAAATCGATGCGCCACAAAAGCCGCCAAAAGTACCAGGAGTTCCTCGAGGAGCAGTCGAAACGCAACGAGCGGAATAAGAAACTGGTTGACATGCTGGAGCGGATCGATGAGCAAACGGCGGCCATGTCGCAACGCAGCGAACGTCTTAAAATGATGAAGGTTTGTATCCTTATTGCCTGAGGAATGAAAACCAATCACACATGAAGAAAAATATATGCCTGTTTATATTAAAAAATCTTAAAGGCAAAAAATACATCTTTAGGAATTTATACAGATTTGAAAGCATACCATCCTAGTCTATAAACCCTAACTACATATCTTACCTCTACTTTTTTCTCCTCCAACAGTTGCAATACCAAATGTACTTTGCAAAATTGGTGCAAAATCAAACACTGCGCTGCATCCAACAGACGACGGCACCTGCCACTGCACCTGCCGGTGGGGCCATTCCAGTTCTGCTGCAACCGCAGGCGACGGTGGTGACCAATCCACCGCAACCGACACCACAGCCCTGGACCTTTGCCATGGCCACGCCCACACAGGCGGGCATGATGCTGACGCCTCAGTTCGCCCCAGGACTGGCCCAACCCCATACCCCCACCCCTTTGGCAGCTGGTGTTCCCGCTCACCATCCTGTTTACTATCCAGATCTCTTTGGCGGACGCGTCACTCCTCTGGGCACCTCGAACCTGTTCGATTTGCGTGCCACCCTGCGCGCCTTTGATAATGAGAATGCCGATTTACCGGAGCGCATGCAGCCTCACTTGACAGGTGATTATCAGGCGCAGGAGCTAGGTGGTGGTCGAGGGGCAGGCGCAGGAGGAGCAGCGACATCAAGCACGGCCAGCCAAGAGAACGGAGCCGGCAGTGGAGCACGGCAGCTGAGCAGCACATCCTCCACTCTGGCCACATCCTCGTTGACGTTTGATAAATTGCCAAAGACGTCTTCCGCGCTGACGTTAACTGAACTGCCGGTGACGCCGAATGCAGCAACATCCGCAGCCGGAGCAACACCAGGAGCCGGAGGATTGGCAGCAACATCAGCAGCAGGAGGAACGGCAACTGACCATGACGTCCGCGGACAGCCGCAGAGAGAAAACGGAGGCGACCTGGATGCCTGGACAAATTCACGCGTGACTAAAGTCGAGTATGAAAAATCACCAACTGTCGGTGGCCATAATGAGCCCGTCCAGCAACAACAACAACATGACTTTGACGCATACTTTGGTGAGCTGAAAATCGATGAGTCCTGGCAAGAGCTAGGGCCTCCCAACCCGACCCCCGGCCGCTCACAGGAAGACAAACGCCCACTAAACGTGCGTGCCAGCGAAGTAAGTGCCAAACTTGGCATCAGCAACGATTTGCTGGACGAAGTCAAAGCCAGTCGGGCGGCTCTGGAAAAGGCAGCGGCTGCGGTTGATGAGCAACTGGCAAGGGGTAATCAATTGTCGCCGCCAGTCAGCCAGGACGTAGGTAACACCGTAACACAGCACCTCCAACAGCAACAACAGACAAAGCCGGGTGTGTCGATAGAGAATATTGAAAATGCCATTTACGGCGAACGATTGACAGGAACAGGAACGGAAACGGGAACGGGAAGGGGAACAGGAGGTACAGGTGGAGCAGCACCGCCCACGCAGGGATTTTTTGAAAATTTGGTAACCAACGCACCCACGTCCGAAGTTCTGCAGGATATGGAGGTGCAGCCAGTGGAGTCTGCAGATGCGGCTGGTCATTACGGGCAATACGACGCCAGTGGATATAGTGAGAGCAGTGAGCCCATATATGCTAGCATCGATTCCAACAACCAACAGCAGCAACAGCAACCGAGCTCCGCAACGGTGGAACCGCTTTACAGTGAAATCGGAAATCCCACCGACTATACACAGGCATATGCAACGGATGCCAGTGCAACTGATGCCACTGCAGCTGCACCTGGACCGGCAACAGAAATTACAACTGCCGGTGCTGGGGATCCCAATGGTGAGCCGCAAGAGTACTCCAATATTGATTACGGCAACTACGAGGACGGTCAGTACGCCGCTGGCTATGATCCGAACGTGGCCTATCCGGGTTACATATACGATGAGGCCACCGGGCAATATATAGCCGATCCCAATGCCCAGCAATATGCACCGGATGGCAGCTATGCCGGCCAGGAGTACGATGCCAATGCTGTCCAGAATTATGACTACAGTGCGTATGAGCAGCAGCAGCAGCAGCAACAGGAGGAACTGCAGCAGCCCTTGCAGGAACAGCAGGAAGTGTATCCAGTTGCGGAGAATAGTCAGGATGTCCCAGAAGTTCAAGAGCCAAGTCCAGCAGTGCCAGCAGCTGCTCCTGCTACGCCGGAACCTCTCAATTCCGGTAGCACCGCCAATCCTAAGCCCATCAAGCCCACGTCGATACTTTCCACGACGACAGACAAACAAGCGGCGCCTAATGATGCGCAACACCAGCAGCAGCAGCAGAAGAAGAAGAAGCGCGTTAATTTCGTTGACAGCAGCGAAACGGATGACAGCTCAAGCGTGAAACCGACCGCCCCAGTTTCCCCAAATCCTGGCCCAGCCGCCGCAGCCACGCCCGCTCCGGCAAATCCAAGTAGCAGTGGAGGTGGTGGCGGAGGCGGTGGCGGCAGCGAGAGTGATTTCGATTTTTCAACGGGCAGCGAGACGAAGAATTAGAACAAGCTGAAAACAGTTGAAGCTCTAATTTGTTGCCATTTGGGTTAACCAACCACCCTCGATTCGATTTATTGCCACTGCATTCCTCAGTCCAGGGAGTTGAGAAAAAATCAGGAAATCAAGTAAAGCGAAAAGGGCGAACTGGAAAACAGGAAAAGGTAAAAATTTGTTTGCCAAGAAAATGGCAAACCACAAACCGCACAAAAGTTGTTGCTTACTCAGACGGCCACAGCTTTCAGCGTTCGTCTAATTCAATCTATTAATTGCTTGTCAAATAAAACAGAGGAAATAAAATAAAGATTAATCTAATAACTTATGTATATATGCATAACGAATATTATTCTTGTAAAACAGGTCAAGCCGCCCTGACACAGTTGATCTGTTAACTGGGCGTATACGCAATATTCCGTATTAATACCTGATGCTGACACACATTCGCCCTGGCAATATCCTGATGGCCTGGCATATATTTTATTAACGACATCGGTAATAAGATCAGCAGCTGTTGCTGCCAGGCCACAATTTATCAAAAGTGCAATTGTCTTTGCCGTGGCACCCCGAATTACCTTTCACTGGCTATATTTGCTTGCCAACTCGCTGGCGGGCGGCGTTCCTGCCAATGACACTAATTATGTGCGGTCAGGCGGTTAAAGCCACATCCACGGCCAGTTACAGCCAGCTACGGCCAGCAAATATGCTGATTCCTGATACGATGACCGGGATGGTCAACTGCTGGCAAAGGCCGCTGCTTACTTGGCCAACAATTGCCAACTTAATTGAATTCATGCCAAGGGATGTACAATGCTCAGTCAGTCTGTATATACAATATTATTCCATAAGGCTATATGCAAAGGATATCTCATCCTACACCGAAGCGTATTCGCATTTTTAATTTGATTTCCAGTTAACGCACTGAAGGCGTTTATATTTTCATTTTCGACTAGCGGCTCCAACTGTTGCTGACATTTTTTCCATCAACTTGAGTGGGAAGTGGGGCATTTTCTCATTTTAAAATTGCCGAACCAATTCCATCGCCATCAATTCGATCTTCAATGCTTATTTTTATGCAGTTTTTTATGCCACTTCCATACGCAATTTTGGCCTGAAGCGTGTTTGCCATTTTTTGTTAAATAATATGCATTTTTTTGTTAATTACACTTTGCGTAATTTCTGCCATGCATCATACATGTTTGGCCCGCTCTCTTAATTTAAATTAATTTCCGAATTAAACGGCCGGCAGTGAAAATGTAATTAATACATACAATTGGCCTGTCGCAATGTCAACGAGGGGGCTCATCAAACAGGCATATCAAATGTCAATCAATTTTTGTGGTTAAGTCATTAAATATTTATAAAAACCATCGAGTGTTTTTTCACACAACTACTGAGCGGACTTAAAACCTTTTGCTGGAATTGACCAATAATTGCACGGAAATTGCTGCAGTGTCGGGTAAATAGACTAACAGCCGCGCTCCGTTTCTCCTCGGAAACGAACCATTTTTGTTTCACTTTTTAATGAGTTGAACGTTTGAGGCCGTAGAAACGAGTAGAAAGTAAACCAAGCCGAGGAAAAGGAACCAAATTGGAGGCCAACGAGAAGGAGGGAAGTTGAACTTTTTCAACAGAAATTTGCAATTAAATGTAACACACAAAACCTCAAAGGCAAATGGCAATATAAAATGTAATGGGCCACATTTAAATACCCTCAGACTCAGCCTCAGCCAGGGCAAATTCAGACAAATTTCCAGCGCCGTGACACTTCAAATGAAATATTGGCATTGACCTAACTTTTTCCATCGGCAAAAAGGTTTTAAATTCCTGCTAATGACGACAAAAAAACAAAACTGGCAAGAGCCAGAAAGATTCTATGAAGCATCTAATTGCAGGCTCCATTTACGACAAATAAAAATCCTTTTGAAATTAAAGCCAAGTACTTCAAGTGCGAAAGTAAATATTGAAAATAAATCGATTTCATTTTGCCAAGAATGTAGCTGCGAGTCGTGAGTGTTTTTTTAACCGGCAATTTGCCATTACCGTAACATAATGCTTACAAAGTGTTTTGACACAGAAGACTGCCATTATATAACTGCCATATGGAGAAGGTGTGTCCTTGTCAGCGCAATTCAAAAATAAATTGCAAAGCAAATCAAATCGACACGTCGCAGGTGGAGGGATAAAGGATTATAGCTGCTTCGCCCACAGTCTGCATAATTGAGTGGCGCTTATTTATGCACCCCCGGCAAGTTGAGAGCCCAAACAACAGGGGACCGGGAGTGGGATCCCCTCCAATCAATGCAACCCTACCCCACCACCAGTGACAGCATCAGGAGCGGGGTTAAAAACGAAGCAAAAAATATAATCAGTGCTGAAATTCAATTTCGAAATAAAACGCAAACGCAAATCGAGAAGCAAAATTTCCAATGCCATCGAAACATATGGCATGTGGTTTGGGTTAGGAATCCTTCGTGGGTGCTCTCTACCTGTTCAATGGGTGTGCACACTCAGTGGAGCAGAAACAAACAAGGTGGAACAGCAAGAGCCATCGTGGCATACCCGGCATACGTGGCGTATGATTGACGGTTATGCAAATGACATTTTCGGGGTAAAGGCAAGACTCTTCTGATAATATTTATAGAGCAGTTAAGGTATGAATAAAGAGTTGCCTTAGAGGGGACCTTGGATGATGGATGGAGCCTGTCGGAAATTAATTCAGACTCTTTGAATTTTATCCGCAAAAGTAATATTCCAAGCCGCACTTCGAATAAGGGAATTTTTTGACTGAAATTAATATTCTTTTAATTTTTTTTCACCAAATGGAATGCTTTTATTTTAATTGTAAAACAAGAAATTTTAAGGCTTGGAGTTATTCTACTCCATTGTGTGCTCGACCACTAACAAGCCTTTATTTGAGCTGAAAGCTAAAAGGGGTGTCTTGGCCAAAAGCAAACATCGGCCAATGGGGATAGTTTCTAGCTCCAGATCCGGATCCAGAGCCGTGCTGACATTAACGCTAATTGAAAACATGAAAGGCGATACGCCAGCCATCCAAACTCTCCCGTGAGCCCACCACTGCTGCCATCTGCGATGATTAGTGCACGTGCAATGCTTTCAACCCAACTGTCTGTCTGTCGAACTAACGATCCTAGCCGCGGAGGAGGTGTAGTCCCTCCCTCCCATGCTACCTGTCACCTGCTACCCATTGGTAGCTCACCTCTGGGCTCTGACTACGACTCCGTCTGGGTCCGCCAGCGTTTTCCTGTTCAATTTCGTGCTATTTTCATGGTGAAAAGATAACAAAAGTTTGCCTCACTTTGCGCGCTGGCAACATAAGAGTTTTCCCCACGTTTTTCCGCCAACTTATTATTGTTTAAATATTTACACTGAAAATGGCGACGGTGGTGGCATCACAAGGGTGCGATTTCTGCTGTCGTACTTCGTGTACTCTGGATGTCGTTGTAGCTACAACCATATGGGCGACAACTTTCCGCCAATGTCTGGGTGGGGGCCAACAAAAAAGTTTTCCTCTTTCAGCCCGCTCGGGGACCCTGGCATTGTCACGCAGTTGTCTTGCCGCCAATGCGACTTTTGCCTCTGAATTCTATCATTTCCGCTAATATACACACATTTGTGCACTGAAAATAAATACTGGATAATGTAGCCCAGATATGAGCGCGTTTTTGAAGCTAGAAATCTTTTTCAGGACATCTGTTCCCCTGAGACTTTTGATCCTTTCCGATGACGATGACATGTGGGGCCATCGATTCACTTTAAAGGGGCTGCCACCCCAAAAATCTCCCTATACTTTGGCGATTAGTCCCGATTCCCCTTCGAGGAATGTGGAACTCGTTGATGATGTGCATGCTTCTGCAGATATGGTACTAGTACTAGTACTAGATGTATATAGGATTCAGATGCTAATGCCGGCGCCGCACTTATTCAGATGATGGGAAGGAAATGTTTTCGCATAAACATCACGTCGGTCACGTTTCACGTTTGTCCGTTACAGCTACAGTTACAGCTACAGTTGATGCCCCACTTGGCGCTGCTCTCTTTTTTTCGTGCACCCGGATATTGTGAGACTGCAAATGTTGGCCAACAGTCAGTCAGACACGTATGACAGTTTTACTACGATGGCAAACAATGCTAATAATCATCATAATGCTTTTGAAGTGGCGCAAATATTTGCCAAGACCATAAACATAAATCAGCAGGGTTAGGGTAGACTTGGGGGCGTGGGCAGTTTGTTTAAAATGACGGCAGCATAAAGCCATAACATATACCAGGACATTGAATTTACGTCCTGTCACCAGAACGACTGTCCCGGCCCATGCTGGGCCGTACAATTTGCAATCAGGCAAAACTAATTTGCCCAATAAGCCGCAGGCAGATGCCAGCTGGTAGGTAGTGGCAGTAGGTAGTTGGCAAGAGGCGAGTAGGTCAAAAAGGTATCCTCCTTGAACCCAAAAACGACAGTTGCAGCCAAGTCGATGCTGTCAAGCTCCAAATTGCACAGATAATGGAGCAAAATCAAGTTGAGCTGATATTGACAATTCAGTGCCACAAACACAAAAGTTTCAGCTGCTCGGACCAATTGAGAAATTCCCAAATGACAGTGGAATTGATTTTCATCGATATGGCTATGGCCACACGTGTGTGTTTGTGTTTGTGTATTTCATATTCATATGCGAACGTGCTCCTGGCACTCAAGAGTGCTCTCCTGGCTGTGGCAGGCAACCGCAATGTAATTGATTTGGATGCCTACTACTGCCTTACAGACTGCCTCCTATGCCGACTGCCTTGGTCCGCACTTCTTCATCTTGTTATTCATTAAAATCCCTGCCGAGTACTTTTGTCTCCGACGATGGTCTCGAGTGGTGGGCCACCACCAGGGCTAATCTGCATTGTCTGCCTTGGAAACAAGGATACCCACTGCTACCAGGCTACAGGGATATGTAGCATTGTTCGGGTCCCTTGAACCGCAACTTTAAGTTTTTTGCCAGAGATGGCCAAGTTCAAAGTTCGTGAGCCTCGTGAGGAGATTGGCGTGTGCCTTCGGCCAAACTCACACGATAAGGATCTGGTATTCCTGCCGATAATATCCTTATCCGTGCGCGTATCCAGTGGCTTTGGCGGAATTTTCACTTTTATTGTTTAAGCTTTCAGCACAGATTGTGCGCGTATTATTGAAATCCCTTTTGTACGCCCCGGGCCGCCGGCACACGCCATCGCAACACCCCCAATATCCTTGTAAGAGCCACTCCACTCGACTCCACCCCGAGTCTGGAGCCTCGAGCCTGCATTGTTTCCGCCTCGGTTTAGGTGCTACTATTACCCAGCTCCGTCTCCGGGCTTCTCCTGTGTACGAAACAAAAGCCTTGTTGCGAATGGCAAAGTTATTTGAAAGCATTGATTACATATTGATAGCGCTGGCTGGCAGCTGAATCTCTGCCAAAGTCACTAAAACCGCCAACCACAAGCCTGAGAATGGTGAGTGGAATGGAAAGCTGAGTACTCAGTCCAGGATATATCTCCCAGCCAGGGTTTCCTTCTTCAATCGAACACAATTGATACTTCCTTAAATTTGTTTCCACATTTTAAGGCTGTTCTTCGACAGATAACAAATTATATTCTCTCCAAGATTGTATAGCTACTGTATAGAGATCCTTTTGTTAAAGGATTGCCAGTGCTTTTGTTTATAAATTGTATTATGTAGAATATATGGTAATGTAATTTTAATCCTTGCATTGTTACATTTACTAAGTTCATAGACATAAGCCTACAATATCATTTCTAATTAATATGATACTTTATTCAACATTTTATCAAACAATTCACAAATTTTAAATACACTTATCAAGCAGCATGACTGCAAGTGCATTAAAGCTGTTTCCATGCCAATAATACGTGATCCGATTCCAATCCGAGTATTACCTCCTTTCAAGTCATGAGGGTTAGGGAGGCTGGAAGGTGTTGAGCTTCTGGGAGCCACTGGGAATGGGTGCATGGCATGTGGCTGGCGCTGCAATTTAATGCGCCATGGCCACGGATATCCGTTTAATGGCCATGAATACATAAATAATAAATAATAAAATTGTATTTGTTTATTGCTCGCAGTCGCACACACACTCAACCAGGCAGCGGGGAACTTACACAATGTCGTTATGCGGATTTATTTACCTTTGCGAGTAAAATATATCAATATATATTATTTTTATTTTATATTTTTTTTTTTGTTAAAGTTAAATGCAATTTAAACAATATACACAATATATATTTATAGGAATGATAAAATGCGCTGTAATAAAAAAATAAATTCCATAGCGGTTTATTATAAGGACTATCTGTGCGCCATTGCCAGAGATTGGCTATTAAGGGCTGTATGTGTGACTGTCTGTGATTGTGTGCGTATGTGTGGGTGGGTGAGCACTTCCGTTTTCCTGTGGCTTGTTAAAAATTATTTAATTTTATTGTATTTCAATTGTTTGTTGCGGCACGGAGGAAACAATAATCCAAAGTCATTGTTACTTCACTGTCCTGCATAATAAATGAGAGCCAGAAAGCACGACCCGCCCCATCAGTCCGCTCTTGGGCCACCGAATCATTCCAGTGATGTCCCCTCGTCCCAGGACTAATGCATGGCGATATCCTTTAGATTGAATGGGTGGCAGTGATGGTCATTTTTATACATTTTCACCACATATAAATTAAATAATATTATTATAAATTCCACAAACATTTTCCAACTTCCTGATATATTTTTCAGCCCACAGTATCTTAAAGATATTTTCCGTTTAAGCAGCACTATTGTGGCTGATGGAGCTGGATCAGGATACGATGGTTCTATGGCAAATTAAAAATGCCATTGGCACGGTGTCCAGCATGCAAATGCATGTCCATGTCATAGAGTTACACAAAGTGCTTAATCAAGCTTAAAAAAAAGGACTCGAAAAGGACACATATATGGCCAGAGTAAAAAAAAACAGGAAGGGGAGAATAAAGGCAGAAGAAACCAGACCGAGCTTTTGGCCAACGAGGGGAGAACGTACGGCGTACTCATTGACTGTGCAAAGTGAAGTGAAGTAGTTTAAAATTAAAAAGGACACTTAATCCCGTCAATGTCTTGCCGTCGCGCCGGCAACCCGTAACCCCCATCCGTATCCGGATCTCTGTGTGTGTGTGGGTGTTCTGGTGAAATTCCAGCACGGGATTAGCAAGCGGTTGGGCATTGAAGGGGTAAGCTGGAATCTGCACTGGAAAAAATGCTTCTATATAATCTCTAATATAATATCTATTTTCTATCTTTTTAAAATAAACAAATAGTCGATAGACTCTTACATATACTTCAGTAAAATAATTCATGATCAGATAATACGATTTAAATGTATTTAAATATTTACCACCGTGCATCGCTGTGGCTGTTTTCATTTGATTTGGCTCTGGATGGAGCATCAGCCCCTGAGTGGTTGTGGGTGGGTGGGTCGTGGTAGGAATTGGATGTTTGCACACTTTAGCTCACAAGAAGTGCAATTATGTGCACAAAATGGAAAATGAAGCAAGAAAGTGGAGCAATTGAAAGCGACAGATGGAGAGATGGCTCTGCGAATGTGGACGTGGATGTGGATGTGGATGAGGATGTGGGAATGCACATGCAATCGTCAAAAGACAATGCTGATTGCTAGCCAAGACAAAAACAATTTAACCCATATTTGCATGGTATGCAAAACGGAAATTACCAGCGTTATAACGTGGAAATAGTTCAGGACTAGAGCCAGATACGAATCATCCGTAGACCACCCTGGTAGATCATGATATACACCTAATTAATGAGGTATACAATTGAATTTGAGCTTATTGGAATGAATACTCAGGAGAGATAAACCCTTTAGCTTTTACATAATTAGTATGAATTGTGTGGACTACCCTTTCCGAGGTCAGTTTTATTTCAGCACTCAACCAGAATGCCCGTCCGTCGAAAGAGTCGATTACTGGCCTCCGCCCTTCCTTACCTACAGGTATTTTCGGTATTCGTCCTAACCCCACCTCCCCAAATCTTCGAAAGAACCTCCCACCAGCGACTCAAGAAGTATTTGATGTCTGGCTATGTCGGCTATGCAATTGCTATCCTTCTTCTGGTTTTCTTTGAGTCCTACGTGAACTTTTTATCAATAAACGAGGAAGTGGTCGAGTACAAGCTGGAAGACTTTACAAAGGTAATGGGTAACACCCAGAAGGTGCTGCCCTCCATCATAGCTGTGTGCAATTATCTGAATATGCTGCTCAACTATCGACGCCTTGGTGGGATCTACAAGGAGATTGCTTTTCTTGAGTCAGAGATCGAGGATGCCTCCCAGTGTTTCGGAGGACAGAAGCGTCGATTAAGTTTCACAGTGCGTTTAATTATGTGGATTGGGGTGGGGCTAGTAGTGATAATGATAGGCCTGCCTCGATGTACATATGAATCGATGGGCCCTTTCTTGAACTTTACAAACAAGACTCTGACCGAATTCGTCCTAGTGATGCAGCAGTTAAAGTCCCTGGAGTATTGTGTGTTTGTGATGTTGGTCCATGAGATGCTACGGTTGCTGCGCCACACGTTGCAGCAGTTGCAACTGGAACTGGTTGACTGTCAAGACCAGGACATGGTCCAGGCTCTGTGTGTCGCCTTGAAACGAAACCAAAGACTTGTGGGTCAAATTTGGAGACTTGTGACTGAGCTTGGCAGCTACTTCTCCCTTCCCATGATTATGCTCTTCGTTTACAACTGTGTAACAATCCTGCACATGATTAACTGGGCCTACATTAACACCTTTATTGAAAATGATTGCTGTACTTTTGGTATGTATTTTGGGGGATAAAAAAAGGTGGCCTATAATTTAAAAAAATATCCTCATAGAACGTTTTGGGGTTTGTTTTTTGCTGATATCCAACCTTTTATTGGCCTGCTTTTTAAGTCAGCGTTGTACGGATACTGTAAGTTTTTAAAAATTAATTTGTTTCATTGAGAAAGCTTTATTGACATGCCGTTTCAGTACAATAGTTTGCCTCGAATCCTTCATCAGATACGTTGCAATTCTGTAACCACAAACTCTTCAACTCTGACCATGGGCCTGCAGGAGTACCTTTTGCAAATGCAGCACTTGAAGCTCTTTTTTTCCTGCGGGGGATTCTTCAACATTAACTTGAAATACTTTGGCGGGGTATTCCATAAAATATCAACACTGACTTTAATTAAACCCCATTTATTTTAGGTGATAGTTACATTATTGGGCTACATCATAATACTCTTGCAGTTTAAAATTCAGTCGATTGCCCAGAAAAATAATTCCGACGGACTATTGCAAACCAATTAATAAATTGTCTAAAACATCTAGATATAAGGTCAATTAAAATATATTCACTCTGGTGATTGCCTTATCGTTTCAATTCACTTAAAAGCACAAAACCTGGAAGCCAAGTAAGGACTTCAGTACCTCTTGGCACCTCAGCGGAAATGGCGACTACCCAAAGTCAACTGATGACCGCGATTCGTCCTTATTTGCATGTTTTTTCCATTTTCGCGATCACACCTCCAGTTGCGTGTTTTCAGAAATCCTTAAGAAAAAGTTGGTGCTCGTACTTGGTGCCAGGATATGCTTGCTATACCTTGGTCATATTTTTAATGGTGATGTATGAGTGTTACATAAACATGACTGCATTGGAAAGGGAAATCAAAGACTTTAAGGTGGAGGACTTCACTCTGTTTATGGGAAATACTCACAAGATTCTCATGGCACTTGTGCTGTTTTGCAATCATTTAAATATGCTGACTCAATGGCGGCGTCTTAAGAACATCTTCAAGGATATGGGTGATCTGGACGAACAGGTCGACAAAGCCTTGGAACAATATGGAGGGATGGTTTCCCTCGGGAAATTCCGATTGCGTTTGGCTCTAGGAGTTGGATGGTGGATGTGCTTCTGCGTTGTGGCCATTCCTTATTTAACCCACCTGGCTATTGGATCCTATGTGGGGTGGCCAAACAAGGTTCTCACACAGTTCATACTGGTTATGATACAACTCAAGGGCCAGGAATTTTGTGTTTTCGTAATTTTAATTCAGGAGTTCATACGCCGTATACGACACACTCTCGAGAAGATCCTAGAGGAGCTCATAGACTGCGAGGAAACCGAGGAACTACAAAAGTTGTGCGTTGCTCTGAGGCAGAATCAGACCCTCGCTGGACGAGTTTGGCATTTGGTGGAAGAAGTTAGTGGGTACTTTAGCTTTCCCATGATTTTTATGTTCCTCTATAATGGATTAACAATACTACACGTGGTCAACTGGGCCTACATAAAGCAATTAGTTATCGATGATGATATGAAATATTGTAAGTAATCTTAGGGGGATTTTTTCTACAGGCTTATACTATAATTTTTAACCATATTATAGTACGTCCACTTCGGTGTTTGGTGTTGCTGACAAGTCTTCTAATAGTTTCTTTTCACTGCGATCGTTGCATTAAAGGTGTAAGTATTTACTATGTTACATATTATTAAATTTTTTTTTTATTTAAAATTATATGTAGTATAATAAAGAAATTCCTCGGCTTCTTCATCGGATGAGTACCATTCCAGCAGCTTCGAGCTTTGTGACCCTAAAAATGGGCATACGGGAATACACCTTGCAGATGCAGCATCTTAAACTACATTTCAGTTGCGGTGGATTCTTTGACATTAATCTGAAGCACTTTGCAGGGGTAATTTATCATTTGTTTTTTGTTATAAATTAATTAATCTCGAATACCTTTTCAGATAGTGATCACCATATACGGTTACGTAGTTATACTTTTGCAGTTCAAAATTCAATCTATTGCTGAAGAAAAGTATAAATTAATATTTAATAGCAGTGCTAGCGAAATTATTTAATTTTAAATTTTATTATGTTAAAATTTAAATATTAACTCACTTAATCACAAATCTTTGTTAGCGACACCTATCGCCTGGGAGTGAAACCTCTAGTGAAACTGTCATGTAAAATGTATTTTACACAGTACAGTAGTGTCCGGCAATGAGCACACTGCTGTCTTTATATTTAATGCACACCCTCAAGCCCGAATAAAAAATAACAAGAAATTCATTAATTTGTAAATGATTACGTATATTTTTTTGTAGCTAGCACCCACCCGTTTGTCAAAGCGGTGTTGGCCAGCCCTTCAGGGTTATCCGTACGAGTGGGCACTTCAGAGTTTATTAAATCTTAACTATTATTGTTTCAATATTGCCATCGATTCGAAGATCGACCAATTTCACCGTTCATAATCATTCTATAGTATAATATCGCTAACTGTAAACTTAGTCTAGGCTTTATACATTGAACATTTCATGTTGTTTCATCGATCTCGGGAATTGTACTCATAATTAGTAATTACTGTAATTGCGACGCTATAACTTAAGAGCTAGGACTTACTGTCTAAGGACCTATCACCTACTGCTAAACATCTGCCCACCTAGACCCATCAGTGTTCCATTTGTACGGCTATAGAGATTGTAGACTGAGATATCAGTTGGATTACTTGTTCGTGAAATGTTCAGTTACGTTCATTTTCTTGGATTCTTCTTCTCGATACTATAACTTCAGTTGGAAATCACAGACTATAATATATAACTGGAATAACTTTTGGAAGCAGTACATCCTATAAGTATATTTAACTATATTCTTGAGAAATAATTAACTAATTAAAACTGGCCGTCAAAAAACACCAACAAACCATCTAAACAAATCTCCAACCATAATAGACATAATTATTTGCACATATCAGAGATAGATTGCAACATCGCCACTGGCAGTTACATTTACAATTATGATCCGATTATATAAAGCTCCGATACAGTTAATAACAATTGCTATAAAAAATGTTGAGAGTGTGTTATGTGTGTGTGTGAGAAAGGACACTGGTGGTCTTACATAGCTAGAAGAGGGAACTTAGAGCTACAATTACAGGCTATACAGTACTTGGGCTAACTACTCAAAACAGGTCCATGTTATCGGTCATATAGCTTAACAGGTAGTACAAGTAAATAAAAAGACACACTGTAGGCAGGAGATAATTCAGCAGTAGGTTAACTATTATCCCGTCCCATGCTTTCCGTTCTCGAAGAGGCCTTTCTTGAAAAAAGACGACAGCTGGACGAGAGAGGCGCGTGTGAGGCCCGGCCCGCCAGGTCCATCATAGATTGGACACTGGGGTATCTTCGAGCACACGACGAAGAGACGGCGCAGATAGAGCTCTAGTAGGCGACGTCTGTGCTTGGCTACCGGCTCGCTGTTGGAGGCAAACAGCTCTCGACGTGGGAAGGGTAATGCAGAGATCTGTAGGATTAGAATATTAGGGTATTAGACTTTAAACCACTTCTTATATAGCCTTTCTTACCTTGGCTCCGTAGCAGTGCTTCATGCATAAATGCAGCTCCCGGAAACGGCTGTAGCGCCGAAGGATATTCAGCTTTCCATCGGGCAGGGCAATGCGCACCTCGTACTCGTAGTGGGTCTGCTTACCAGCCCCGCGCATCACAAAACTGGGTATTGTGATAAAATGTTCACCTTCAGCTGGAAGACAGATAACTCTAGTTAATAATTGGCTTAAAATATACTATTTTTAATAACTCACGAAACTCTCGCATGGAGGGACAGGATCTCGTCATGCTGGGAGGATAGATCTGGGACTCCTCCATGCTGGTGGGGCTCATCACACTGGATCGCATGATAGAGCTGGCCAGTTCGTATTGCCGTTCCATTCCCGACCGCTCCTCCGCACAGCACTGCGCATGTGCCTCCAAATCCTGTACCGACTGCAGCATTTCCTGCTCCATTTGAATGTAGCGCCGCTGCAGATCCTGCAGGTCAGCAATGTGCTCATCCAACCGAGACTTGTTCAGGTCCGTTTCGAGATTCTTCATAATGAGGGCTTTTTGGGCGGCTATCTTGCGGCGCAGCGAATGGAGCGGGCAGTAGGGTCGCGCCACCTCAGAATGCCGGCCAAGCTCGCAGGAGGAGCAAGAGCCCGTGTCCTCGTCGCTTGTGCGTAGGCCCTGCCTGTAGTTGTTGATGTGCCCGTTCTGAATCAAGGCCTGGTTGCGACTGTCCAGGCACACGCCACTATCGCTCATAATGGCCTGTGAGCTGGGTGTGGCGCTGGGCACTGAGCCTCCTAGTCCCACGCTTCCACTGCCACTTCCGCTGCTCGGACCGGCTGTGCAGGTGCGTGAAGCATCCTCACTGCTGCCGGAGAGGTCATCCTTGCGCGTGTCCTCCGCCTCGTCCTCGGCCTCGCAGGAGCAGTTGCTCAGCGGCGACTGCTGGCCCTCCGTAATGGTGGGCGACGAGACGAGTGAGAAGTTCGATTGGGCGGTGTGGAAGGTGTCACAAGTTTCGAACGTATCCGATTTGGACACGTCGTCGGCCTCGTTGGTGCTCGTCGAGGTGGACATGGACTTGTTGCCCAGCTGCAGCTTCATGGTCTGCTTCTTGGCACGCATGGCCTGCGACTCAGCCTCACTCTCCAGCCGCTCCAAGCGAAGCCGCTCCAGCTGGGCCTGAATCTCTAGCATGGTTTCATCCACCTTGGCTATCTTTGTGGTGCTGGCATTGAGTATACGCTCCTTCTCCGCAATCTGCTCATCCAGCTTACGGATCTCCTCGTTCTGGTTATGGAAGTTCAAATATTTAAAAAAGCCTCGAAAGGGAGATCAGTGACTTACATTTCTTCGAACAGTTTCCTTTATAAACTGAGCCGCAAACAAGTCCAACGAGTCGGACACCTGCAGCAGCAGCTCATCATTAAGAGGAGTGCCCTCTTCGATTTTAATTCCCATCTGCGAGAAAACAAAGGCATTTTAAAATCAGGACTATCTCAAGTGGTGTTTCTACCATCTAATCTAAGCTCTAAGCAAAATAAGTCTAAACAAGGAAACAAACCTCGTCCAGTTTGCCGCAATCTTGCAGCTCCTGCAATTCTTTCGCTACGTACTCAGAGAAATCTCGTTTCTTAGAGTCGAGCTGCGTCTGAAACGCTGAAATTTGTCTACACACAATGTCGATCTAAAACGAAAATGAAACGAACGGAAAAGCATAATGAACATAAAGCCAAAACAAGGGAAACCATAATAGAGTGGCAGGCAGGAACGAAAGCACAAGAATCTCCGATCTCCAGTTTGGAGGCAAGACTGGCACTGGCATGCAACAACAATAAACCTGTTTCGGATCGCCGGCACGCACCTGAACCTTTTCGTTGTTCTTCTCCCACATCAGCATATCCTTGCGAGCGATCAGTTCCTGCTCCCGGCAATTCAACACCTGCAGTCCGTCCATTTCCTCCTGTTCCAGGCGGATTAGCTCTTCGGTTAGCTTTCGCACCTTGGTCTTGTATTGGTCATGCATTTGGACGCGTTCCTAAACAAAAACAGGTTAGGTTCTATCCTTCCTTCGAAGAAAACAAGAATACCCACCACATTCAGCTGCTTTAAGGCATTCTCGATGGTGTCCAGGATCTTCCTGTTCTCATCCTGTAGCTCGGGATCGTCCCTCGACATGGGTCGCTGGGGATAATACTGGCGCTCGGGTCGTTTGCTGTACGGCGAGGCTCCGTCCTCGTCCGAGTAGATGCTGCAGGTGAGCAGGTTCTCCTTGGAGGAAGTTATCAGCGACAGCCGCGACATGTCCAGCTGCGAACGACTCAGATCCTTGCGCAGCTTGGCCGCCTCGGCGGGGTTGTTGAATCGAAAGATGTTGGTCCGACCCAGCAGAATGATGTCGCCCTGCGAGATCTGCTTGGGCTCGTCGATCAAGTGGGCATTGACCCAGCACTGGGCCAGTGGCCAGGGATGCAGAGTCACCACTCCACCCTTCAGCACAATGCTGCAGTGCTGGGCGCGAATGCCATCGCCGGCTAGCTCGATGTCCTGCGCCACCTCGGCATCTTCGCTGCCGATTCGCGTTTCTCCCTCCTTCAGGCTATACAGCGTCACTCCCGTGGTCACGTCGTTATGAATACCGATGAGATGCGGCATCTCTGAGTCCAGAACCACCCCGACACCCGACTTCCGCAAGCCCAGACTCTTCTGCTCTTGCAGAATGGACTGGGCCACCTTCCACTTCTCCGTCCACTCCTCGGTGAGCACTTTCTCCTGCGCCTCCTTCTTCTGAAGATCGGCCAGTACCTTGAGGGAAGGCTGAAGCGATTGCTGCAAAGATGGACTCATTAGGATTAGAAGTTCAAAGAGTAGAAGGATCTATCTTACAATATCTCCAGTGAGCATCGACTTGAGCTTGTTGATCTCCTCCCTGAGCTCGCGGATCAGCTTGACATTAGCATCCTCGTTCACTGTCGGCTTGTTGATGATGTTCTTGGCCCGGTTGGCGTACCGAAGGGTGCTCAGGGTCTCGCTGTAGTTGCAGTCCGCCGGCGAGAGGGCCGCTATCATAATGGTCTTGCTGTTGCCCCCCAGGCTGTCCTTTAGCAGCCAGGTGAGTATGGAGTCGCGGTAGGGGATGTAGAGTACCCGCTTGCTGGCCCCGTTGGGTGTGGTGGCCAGGGAGGAGCTACTGATATTCCCAGCGCTCGTCTGCTCCGCCAAGGCCGAGATAACGCTGCCCAGGGTCACCAGCGACTTGTTGATGTGGGCGCCCTCCTTCAGGCGCTGACCTGTGGCGCCCGTGGCGTTGGCCCGCTCACTGAAACGCAGAATAGGAGACACCATTAATCCAATTATCCAACTAGGGCGATAGAAATCATACGAGATCTATCTAGAAATATCACCTCCCCACCTAGTGGTTTTACTTTCTAGAGCAGAGCTTCATGCTCCGGTTACGCTTACGCTTACGCACCTGCCTGCCAAATCGACCAAATGGATCTTCGAGACTGTTTCGCTTGGCATGTCATTCATGAAGACGGCCTGCACAAATGTGATCGTGAAGATGGCGTGACTCCGGCTGCTCGTATCGTTCATGTTGGTGCTGGCCGTGGTGCGTTGTGCATTCCCCCGGGCGATGCATTCCTACATTTAGACCATACAAGGATCAGATCATCATTCCTCAGATATCAGATAGCCACACCACTCACCTGAATCTCATCAAAGTCGGAGACGGCGTGCTGCGACAGGTTCTCCACATAGGGGCCCAGACTGCGATGCTCCCGCACCCGCAGGCCATGGCCGGTGCTCTGGGCCGCCAGCAGGTCCTTGACCCGCTCGTTGTAGATCTCCAGGTAGCTGGCGTGCGTCCGGTAGCCAGTACCGGACTCCTGGCCCACACGCATCCGGGCGAACAGCTCCTCGCAGATGCGCGGTATCAGGCCCGGGTTGTTTGGAGTGCCCATCATAGTGAAGGTCTTCCCCGAGCCCGTCTGTCCGTAGGCGAAGACACATGCATTGTAACCTGACCAGGGGGGGAGTGAGGAAAGGAGGAGTGTGTTTATTAATTGTCTAATTAATCCACAACATGGGTTTTACATTCTGGGAGCAACTTGATCCAAAATGTTAGCTTTATTTCATAAGTTGTATCCACCACCGCAAGGTGGCCAGAACCCCAGAGAAGCGAATGTCAGTCGGTTGCGGTTGCAGTCGAGCGCATCATGCCAGTTAATTGCCAGTCACGGAGTCAGTCGCTGCCGCAATGGCGAACCTCCCAAAAGTGAGGCAAGCACTTCGTGACTGGGGGAACTGGCTAACTGGTGTGCACCGTCACCGCGAAATACTTGATGAGTTAATAAGTAATGGCTCTACAAGCTACATTTATTGGCAATCCTTAACAGATCTAGTGATCTCAACAGCTGCCGACAGGCCATAAAAGCTGCAACTTAGTGGCACTTTTCAACAATCTGGATTAACACTCCCCGAGATGATAAGACCAGTGTCACCTGGCAATTAAAACAAGGAAAGTGCAGCCACGACGATGACTCGCAGATGACCTACTCGAATCTCTAACAAGCTAACGAAGCCTCTATTGCGACAACATCTCTGGCGCCATCAGATCTGGAGGCGATAGCTGCCACGACAATTACCAGGGAGTGGCGCGAATGCTTCAGCAGATCGTTGGCTGCCAACAGGTGCTGCTGTCATCCAAGACCCCACAAGATTTGGTGACTCCACTGGCAACCACCTCTATTGTTTATGCCTCGTTTTCCAGTGTTTTTTGGATTCATCTGCATGGAAAATGCTTGCAACCATTTGTCATTTTCACATTCCCGCCGCCACTGCCTCTTGCCTCTTGGGCAATCATGGCTTTGGCTTGGGCTTCTCTCGTAATTCGATATTGAAAGCGTGCCAAAGCGACGGCCAGGCTGGCAAGCCGAACAGCTGTTCCATTTCGCTTGGCATCTCGACTTGTTGTGGGCGAAAGTTGTGTGTTTCTGCCTAGCTATGCGATTCGGATACGGCGAGCCGAGCCAAATGGTACTCTAACATGCAAATACATGGTCCGAGTGCCAAACACGGAAGTCTTGTAGCTTGTTTTCATTACACTTTCCTTGCAAAACCATCCACTGGAATGGAGAGTGACATTGTAGCGAGTTTTGTATTTAAGATTCATTAAAAAGTATCTGAAAGATACATAATATATCCCACGAATAGGCTTCTTTCCAATCTTTAGGATCTATCCGGTAGCAGGAAATTCGCACGATTACTGCTTAGTAAACCTACTTACCGACAGACTCGAATACAACCATAATTAGTCGCCACCCAAGCGTGGCAAGCTAATGCGAGTGGCGTTTGATTTAGTATACCTACTATACTAATATATAGTCTAACCAAAGCAATGCCTTATTTTTAGACCAGTATTTTCGGAAAAACGAGAGGGAAAACTCACGGGGAAAATGTAAACAAACAGGGTAAGGTGCTCTCAGTGGGTGGCCCATATTGGGTCATGCTCGGTACTCACCTTCGTAGGCACAGTCCACGACATCGTTGCCCAGATCACTGTAGACCTGCTCCTGGGTGGCAAAGTGCTGATCCTCCGCATCGAACGACCAGTACGAGTAGTCGAACGTAAAGTCATGATGATTGTCCCGTCCGGCATCGCGTATGGACTGCAGGCGGGGCTTCAGGAGCCTGGTCTTCTTGCCCTCCATCTCCACGATGAGCTGAGCGTCCATGTCATTCTCGCTGCAATGGGAAAAGCAAACGACATCTTTATTTATGGCCCGTCCATGATAATTGGCCCTACAGTCTGACTGACTGGCTTTCAGGCAAAAGCCTATTGTTAGGGTTTATATAATAAATATTGTTTGCTTTCGCTCCCAAACGCCTGTCGCCATTCAGGGCTTTCGTGTTGGATTATAAATAGACCGTCCAACCGACCAACCGCCCACCAGCCAGCTCATAAATATTCCTATTAACGATTTTTGCATGACCCGAGCCCGAGCCCAGACAGCTGGCAGAGCCATGCAATCCAATTGACATGTTTGCCCTGCGATCAGGCCATCCAGAGAGTAGTCACAACTACTATATTATCAAAGAAATCCGGTTTCTGGGCTATAATAAACAGAATGAGCTGAAAAACTTGATTGCAACATCAAAAGGAAAAGCGGCGCAAACAGAACCGCGGATGAGGGAGCTCTATGGAAGGGAACTCAGAAGATGGCACCGAACCGGTTGACTGGAGGAGTTCATAGGGGCACCCACACGAGGAATACACACACACAGCACACACAGCATGTAAATAAACAGAACAGACCCCTGAATGCCATCCAATTTGGAGGAATAACAACCATAACATTTTCTAAATCTGAAAAGTCTATACGGGTCATCTATAGTTTAGTGGAGAGCAGGCACAAGATATATACACTAGGCCTAAGATAGGGTATATGGGTTTCTGTCTGATAACTGCAGCACTTGTCCCACATCCAGCGACTTCCAATTTTAGGTCATTCCTCCCTTCTGGCTGCCATATGAAGCTCCACTCCAAGTCGGCTCAGTGCTCATTTAATTCTTTAATCTTTGGAGAGCAGGCATCCCCATTCTGTTGTTATCCAACCGAAGATTACGGCTGGATGCCACAAGCCTGCTCCTCTTCAGCGTTGATTCATTCCTCAATTAAACATTTAAAAGTTCATGGATTTGGCATGTCTGACTCATGGGGGCCGGCAGGGGCTTTGGTTCTTAGCCCCTGAGTCATTTAGAGGGAGAGGTGTGACCCCCAAAACCCCTCCTAACATCCGCCACTGGGTGCGAAAATGAGATATGGTTTTTGGAGAACTGGTTTCGTGCTAAAATCGCTCGCCAGTCTACTATAAACATACTTATGGATAATTATAATAGATTTCTGCTTTTGTTTTCGCACGGAGGCTAGAGGCGGCAGTCTTGCATGTCCGCCGAGGAGGACGCCGTTTTGGGGGCTGAAAAGTATGTAATTCAGGCAGAAAGTTGCCGTTTTGCATAAGCCCCTCCATGATGATGATGTCACAACTCCCAGTTAGCTCTACTTTTTTTTTCTATTATAATTGCTGAACTAATGATGTTTTCTTTTTTTTTTATTTCATGCACAATTAACACAAGGAAATCTGCCAACAAAAACACTCTGTCTGTATGTGTGATTGCGATTTTTATATCGAACCCCGCAGATGAATGACATCATTACAGGTTCCATCTTTCTTTGTTCTGCCAACTTCGGTGTTTTTTTTTTGTGGCAGTAACTGTGCCAAAAGCAATGACCGACCGACCAGATAGACAAGATAAAGCCACAAAAAGAGCCAACAAAAATGGTTAACGATCGTTGGTAAGAGTACAAACATAAGGTTTAATGGGCTTTTAAGTAGGCACCAGACCAGACCAGACCAGCCGAGACCAGACCCTGTTCCCTAACCGTTTTTATGTTTTAATTGTGAGAGAGGGGCATGTACCTAGTAGTTACCAAAAATTTGTTAGCCATTCTGAAGGTAGCTTTCCATTCTTTCCATCCAGTCTTTCCAAGTGCGCAAGAGATTTCCCCAATTAAGGGGCGTTTGTAAATTTTATTTTACCTTATCGCTGGTATTCCCAATGACGTATGGTAGTACACTTCTGATTAATTTTTAATCTAATACTATTATTATTCTATTTTTATCCCAAGCCTGTTTAACCCCAACTTACCGCGAGTTAAAGGGACGAACCCTCACAGCAACCTTGAGCGACGACATTTCGGTGGTGGATTCTTCTACTCCTTTGCTGTACTGTTCCTGTTCCGTTATGCGGCGAGGGGATGAGTGGGCTTATGGGTGGGTGGTATGGGGGCGGGTGGTGTGCCAAGCACGTACAGTAAACAGTGCTCCCAAATAACGGGCCAAACTTGCTGAGCCAGGTTTTTGGCTATTCTCGCCCGCCTTGACCACTTGCCACGTAATTTGATTTCGGGATTAATTTTTTTGCGGAGGATGGGGGGAGGAGGTGGGCGGACAATTCACTTTGTTGCGTTATTTGGCCTGCTTGCTCTGCTTTTCAGTTTGTTTTCCTTTTCGTCTTCTCGTGACCCGTTATTTCGCCTGCTGTCCGCGAACTTTGCGCGCCGCCACAAACAACTGCACATACTACATACAACAGCAGTGCTGCTGCGAATAATGGTGCGCAATTCCACTTTTTCGATTCACTTCCACTGGCACTCGGACTCGCACTCGACGTCACTGAACACCCAACACCAATGCAAACATCAGCAGCAACAACAAATTTGGGGGCACCTGGGGCAGCAGTCATCACTTTTGCTGCTCAGCGCTGCCCTGGGGCGTGTGTATTGGTGTTGTTAGATTTGGCCATATGCAAATTCACTGGCGAGCGTTTTGCACTTGGTACGCCTCATTAATCGCACTCGCGTCCGCTGCAGCGCGATAAAACAAAAAAAAAACAAGTTGAGGGGCGCGAGTACACTCTATTTTTCTCTATTTATCTTCTAGCGCGACGCGACGATGTTGATGGTTTCGGATTGAAAGTGTGACCGGAGACTACAAAAATATTTTGGTTTTAGGTTGTTGATATATAGAAATATCGATATATATATCGAGAAACAGTCTTAGCCTTTATATCGAAAATAAAATATATATTTTTGCTACTTTTTTATATTTTTCTAGATATATTTAAAGAGATAATTCGAATAAAAGAATCTTGGAAGTCGTATCTAGTAAAGCATCTACTCGTGACAACAACGAAAGAGCTTTGTTTTTACATTTTCCAACACTGTAGTCTAGACTGCTTAACGGTCACTTTTCCGATCCTACCCGTTCCGATACAATATCCAACCATTTTTAAACTTTTAAAACTTCTGATTATAAAATAATATATTAACAATAAACGAAGAACTTTTTAAACTAAAACCAAATAATGTTTAAGTACAAATAAAATGTTTATATTTTTTTTTAATTTATAGGTACATTTTAATATTATCATTTTATCTATTATTTCGTGAGCATTATATTCAAGGTATACTAAGCTTTACTCTTTTTAAAAAAAGTTTTCTAATTACATCACATTTGATAATTAATTTGGTGCAATATGGCATAGCAAAAGGTGTAGAATTTATTATTCTATCAAATTAGGCTCACTATCAGTAAAAACTAGTTAAAGCTCTTAATCACCTGGTGTTTTAGGTTTTCTCCGGTGTTTTTCCTGTCATACATATGTACCGTTCCACCGCTGGCACCACTCCAAGGCGTACTCGTAGCCCAAAAACGTGGCAGCGTTGAAGGGAATCGCTCTGGCCACCAACATCCAACTGCCACGGAAGATACTCCTCCAGCCGTAGGCTCTGTACTGAACTCGGACACAGTGAAAGATGCCTCTGTATTTGTGGTTTTCATCCGCCTGCATCAGGGTCTTGACCACATCGAACGGTATGACGCACACCCAGGAGATGACTCCGGCCCAGGCTCCTGCCAGTGTGGTCACGAGGAGATTCACACTTGATCCATCCGACTGACTGCGACGCCGACGTACGAAATCCCGCTGATCCAGGTAATCGACAGTCTGACGGTACGCCAGCATATAGATTCCATAAGGCAGGACATCACTGAAGGGAGGGAAAGCTAATTAGAGTGTTAAAATTATAGTTTCATTGAAACTCACCGACACATCATGGGCAGGAGTCCGCGGTAAAGGCCAGAGATTCCGTCAGTCTTGAGTATCCTTTTAAAAGTTCCCATTGCAGTACGCCGTTGTCCATAAAGATAGTCATTATAATCTAAAAAGATTTAACATCAGACCTATCCTTCTTTGATTAAAACATTCCAAGAAACCTACAGCTATGAGTCTGAAGTCGAACCTTAATCAGCTCCATGGGACAGGCTATGAAGGATTGGATGAAACCGGCCACTGATCCTGCCATAAACATGTTGTGGTACTCCAGTTGCTCCCTCTGGTAGTCACTATGGCACACCTTCCTTAATTGGCGCAGGTGATTCCCATACACTCCAAAGAGCAGGGAATTGATGGCTCCGGTGGAGATGAATGGAAAGAACATGCCTCTGTAAAATCCATTGATCTTTAAAGATTTGTTAAGTAACTAAGCCCTAGTAATAATATTAGCCCAGTTGGTTACGTCTAGCCGTTAAATTCAAATGAAAATATAGAGCTTTTATCTGAAACTCAAAATACTTTAAATTATTTATAATACATGTTTAGATCCATTATTAAACATACATATGTAGCGTTGTATAAAATTCTCTCTTTTGATGCTTTAATCTCATTTAATTTCGTCGCAAAATGTAAACATATAATATAAATAATTTCAAAATTCAGACCAGACGTAACCCGTAATACTTACCCCATTATTTCGGTTGTAGATCTGGTGGATAGCCGTAAAAACCGAAGAGTTGGAGGCCTGTTGCCACACCTTGATCGTGTCGAGGGGGTGGGCCACCAGCACCCCACAGGCACCTGTGCCGTGCAAATAATGAATAAAAGTTAATTAAAATATTGTGCCACAATGTGAACACATGTTGAACCGCCGCCTGCCGCTTGCCAAGAATGCGCGCCACAAATATACGCCTCAAGATCAGGGGCACCTCGCCCGTGAACTTGGCCGTGGCGCCCGTTGGCTTGTGGGGCTGCCCCTTTCAACTGTCAACAAGTGGCTTATATGGCTCTGGCATTGCGTCATTCTTAGATTCTACCAAACATGGGATGCTGGTTACTCCCCAGTCGTAGCTTTCCACTCACCACCGAAGCATCCGGCCACGAAATCACAATAGTTCTCCCACTTCATTAAGAATCACGAGATATCCTCCGCGTGGATGCGATTTTCAAAATTGATTTTTCTCGCGATTTTCGACTGCATCTGGCGAGCGAACCAACTGCAGTGAGCTTTATTTTCAAAAAGCTTTGCATTGCGAAGTGCAAACTTTTGAAATCGTTTTCCAATACTGAAAAAGACGTTGCTGCACCAGTTTCTATCACTTTTTTTTACAAAAATGCATCGTTATTTACTTGCTAATTTAAATTAATAATAAAGTCCTTTTACTATGAGCCATATAGTTTCTTCACACTTTCTTGTGAATCTGATCTGTTAAAGCTATTTCAATAGAAGACGGCTACTATCGATATCTGTCGAAAGCTATGACATCATCGAAAATAAATAAAATTTAATCTAAATACCTTAATAATCGATCCATCAAAATATTTTAAAATATTTATTGACACTAGTATGGATCCTGCAAAGGCCATATTTTTCCTGAAAACAATCTTCTTTATAAGCGAATTTACTTAAATGATTTGTGGATCCAGCTGCATCCAAACCCGGAAAGCCATAACTTTCCCAATAGTCATCTGATTCTTGAGCGGAATATCTTAAACGATTTGTCAATCGATTCTCCATCAATCTGCATCAAAATCCAATAACAAAATATTTTTTAGATTTTTTGTCAAATTTTCTGGGTAGACAGACCCCTTTCAAAAATGGGGAAAATGCTTGAGAGGTCAATATGGCCCACACCGAAAGCCATATCTTTGCGAATAGTTATCTGATTCTTGAGCGGAATATCTTAAACGATTTGTCAATCGATTCTCCATCAATCTGCATCAAAATACAAGAACAAAATATTTTTTAGATTTTTGGTCAAATTTTCTGGGTAGACCCCTTCAAAAATGGGGAAAATGCTTGAGAGGTCAATATGGCCCACACCGAAAGCCAATATCTTTGCCAATAGTTGTCCGATTCTTGAGCGGATTACCTTAAATGATTTGTGGATCCATTCTCCATCAATCTGCATAAAAATCCAGGAACAAAATATTTTGTAGATTCTTTGCCACATTTTCTGGGTAGACCCCGTCAAAACTTTTTAAAATGCATTGGATCTCTAAAATGCCCCACTGCGATTGTCATATCATTGCCTACAATCATCCTACACTCAAGCGGAATACCTCTAATGATTTGTAGATCAATTTAATACCACAAAGAAAACCAGTTTCAATATTTTTTTATTTTTTATTTATTAATTTTTTATTGTTGATTGATCTCTTTGCTTCTTTTCTCTCCGTTTGCTCATACTCATTCATTCAGTTTTGTGTTTTTAATTTTTTGCTTGGTTTTTAAACGTTTTTGGTTAATTCTGCTTGCAGCTAAATATTTTATTTCGTCTGCGCCTGCAATTCAACTCACTTCATTTAATATTTCCTCGATTTCTGCTGCCTGCTCTTAGTTTCTGTCGCATACATTCCGGCCAACTGCTTGGAGTCGAAAGCAATCAACTAAACCTTTGTTTTCTGATGCTCGTGTATATATATTTTTATATATATGCATGTATATACCTATATATATTTATTCCCATTTATGTTTTGTGTAATTATAATTTACTTTTTATATTTACTCTCAGCATAAGATTTTGTTTTAGTTGATGTGTGTTTTTTGAGTTTTTAGATGTGGGTGAGTAGGTGTGTGGGCGAGTGAGTGTAGTGTGCAGTGTGCCTTCAACCCAGGAAAACAATTGAAATCCTCGCACACCTTCCTAAAGAACCAGAACTCAAAGTTGTACATAATAATAGCGTGTGTGTGTCAGTGTTTCATATACGATAGGTTTTTTTTACAAGTCTAGAACATAAGAAAATACATAATTCACATATATATTTATCCACTTTATCCTCCGATCCACTACTCCGATTTTCCTTTCATTGTTAGTATCCATAGTATTTATATTGTTAAAGCGCTTTACTATTTTGCTCTTATTGTTGTTGGTATTTTTTAGCTTTTCTTACTTTTTTTTTTTTTTTTTTTTTTTGCAACGTTGTTAATGCGACTTTATTTTTAGTACAAGATTTTTGCCTCTAAAAGTACTTAACGAGTTTTGCTTTTTTGCTTAAACTTCTTTGCTCAGCTGGCTCTAAGCAGCTATAGCTACATTTTAACATGCTCGGCTTGTTTATACATATAAATACAATATTAGAAACAATAGTTAAAGTTACCGTACAAGTTGAAAGCGGACTAAACAGGTTATAACTTAAAGTGCAACAGATCATCACAAAAAAACTGAACAAAAATGAAGAGACAATAATCATTAAACCATCTGTCTTATATAAATATTTATCGTTTATTAGGCTTTCTTTTTTCAACATTTTTTTTTATTTTATTTTATTTAGTTTATTTTTGTTGTTTACTTGATTTTTTTGTTTTTCGTTTTTTTACAATTGCATTATCCTTCGAATATGTTTTTTGTTACTGATTGGCATCCTATACGAACATCAACATTAACTAGAGATGGTTCCTATTCGTGTGTGTTTTCAATGGGTCTCTGTTGGTTTGGAATAGTTTGGGGATTGGCATAACAAACAACAGATCTTCAGCACTTCAAGAACTTATACGCCATCGAATGTATAAATTTGTTTACTTTCTATACTCCTCCAGTTTCATTTGGTGTTCTAAAGGCAGTTATAGGGGCGATCTGATCTCTATTGCTTCTTAACGGATGTGATATTACTGGATAGCTCTAGTCGTAGTAGCTGTTTATCTAGGGCCCGATTTTTGTCCGCTATTTTTTTAATTACACGCTAATATAAAGATGCAAAACCTCCTCAGACACGCTGCTTAGTATTTAGGCAATAGGTAAATTTTCGAAATACAATACATTCTTTCTCTGTAGGCGATGACTTTTTTTTAGTTGATGCACTCTATAAGGTATTCCCTCAATTCGGTTCGAAATTTTCTCTGCTCTGCTGCATATTGTGGTTGACGTTTTACAAACATATTTAATAATAACGCTAACTTTTACGTTTCCTTTAGATTTTTTTTTTTACGTTTTTTAATGTTTTTTTTTCTTTTGTTTGCAATATATGTATACATATATGTGTATAATAACTCACGATTCACAGACACAATTATCTTTAATATTATATGAACTTTTGCGGTTTTGCTTAATGACAGAGACACTCATTAGTATATATATAATTTTCATTTCGTCCTACTATATCCTCCCTATCGTCTCTGCTCCTAGTTTGCTCCTATAATGCATGCTTCTATACTTTGTAATGGGCGTGAGAGTTGAATGAACAAACATACATATGCATAGTATATTTCATATATAAATTTTATATATTTCTTTACCATGAGTGCGGCTAATTGTGAGTGAGAATGAGTCAGTGAGTGAGATGCTGGAAAAGCAGTCCAAAGTCCCCCCGTAGATTATCTTAGCTACATTATTTACAATAAATATATATTTTTTTTTCAGAAAATTGAATGAGAATTGTGCGCATTTCCATGAAGATTAGGGAAAAGTTGGAAAGAAGTTTGAAAACTATCTTAGACTTGACGCTGGACCGCTTTCCGCAGAGATATATAGTTCTTAGATGCATTGAGTCTCGAGTGGACTATGGAAATGTTTTTCTAGATGACAGCTATCATATAGAGACTGTGCCAACGTAAATTGTCCATAACCAGGTTCTATAGACTAACATCATCATCGTGGTTGGTTTCTTTAGCTTAACCTTTATACAATTCTCAATATTTTTGTATTAAATTTTTTTCTTAGTATATCATCTCGATAACTGCGCATGCGCCTATTCCTTCTAATCCGACACTTAATTAGATCAGAATTTTCGCGTACGGTATACGGTATGGTGTGGTATTTTATTTTATTCTTATCGGCTGTCTGTCTATGTATATAAATTAGCCCGCTTAGCAGCAACTCTTGAACAACGTAACTAGACCTTGGCTTAGGCTTAGGCTGAGCTCAGGCATTTAGCGGGAATTGTTGGAATTTATGATCATCTCGAGAAGTCTTGACGGAGTGTGCAACACTTAAAGCTAAATAACAAAGTTTCATTCTGGGAGGAGGGACACATACTTTTCGATATTTTATATACAATTCAGTGGGAAACTTGGACTAAGACACGCCGTTTTATGGAGCCTGCTGTTAAGATTTAAGGTACAGACCAAAAAAACAAAACAAAAAAATAGGATGTTGCGCAGCTTAAAAGCTTAACTATTTTACATATTTCCGATAAACGCAAGAAATGATGCCATTTAGGTGAGAGGTCCTTTCTGATCAGGGCCTCGAGAAACCGACCCTTAACTGAATTAAAATAAGGATGTTGCGCTGCTTATCTATTTTACATATCTCCGATGAACGCAAACATTCTGCAATCAAGTGAACATTTAGGTGAGTGAGTGCGTTTTCCGTGGGTGGGGACTAGGATGGCTGATCTATGGTTAGGGCCTAGTTAGCAATATTTTTTTAGGTAATATTTCAATGCGCTTCAACAATCGTCATAATCAGTTATAGTTATAGCTCCTTGCATTTTCACTTACTAACATGATTTCTCTTTATTCAACTTTTTTTTCGCTTAAACGTAATTAATAATATTTTTCCTTCTTTTTAATTTTTTATATATTTTTGTTTTTAATATTTAATTATACGTGTCCGCGTGTGTGTGTGTCTGTATATGGGGTGTGTTGGTGTAGGTGCACGCATGTATGTGTTAGTGTGTGACTGTGTCCTTTTTGTTGTTGTGGTTGTTGTTGTTGTTTAGGTTTAAGATACAATATTTATAAAGATTTCTTTGATGCCGCACTCAAGTTTTGTATGTAACATACCCCCTCACACGCACACACACGCTCACAGGGATCTGATTCAGCTCCCGGTCTAGATTTCGGTTCTACCTCCTCCTCCTCCTCCTCCTCCTTCTACCTCAACAGCCGCCCAAGCGTCCAGCGGGTCGGCTTGGTTGGTGTCTTGTCAATCGAGTATACATTTTTTAGTTTTTTTTATATTTTTCTGTTTTAAAGTTTAGCATATGTGTGTGTGTGTGTGTGTGTTTGTTTAGTATAACTATTTATTTCCACTGTATGTACTGCGGATGCGGTGTCGCCTCTGCCGTTTACGGATATAATGTGTTAAGCTTCACGCTTTTACTGATCTTGGTTTTTAATTAATTTTTTATTGTTAATTTCTGGCGCGCCTCGCGTCGCTCGATCGCTTAGTTTTCCGACTTTTCCTTTATTTTTGCATTTGTGGTCGCAGGATTATTGTCGCCACCGCTGGACAGGCTGCCGCTGCTGCTGCTATTCGACTGTTGCTGATGTGAGTTCAGGCCGGCGGAGCTGGGTGGCAGCAGCTGGGCGGACGTTGACGACGACGCGGATGCTGCGCTGTTGGATGTCGCAGCGCTACCGCCAGCGGCGCGCCCACTAGAACGATTAGTTTCGAGTTCATGTAGCTTCTTCCACAGCTCCTCCCGATCACGCTCCCGCTTCTTTTCCCTGCAAAATATATTATATAAAATATTAACTATTTTAATAAAATTATTTCAAGTTAAACCCACTTTTGCCTTTCCGCTTTGTAGCTGGAGGTCAGTTCGTCGAATAGTTTGGAGTTCATCTCCATAAACGTCTTCAAAACGTTGTAGACAAGCGCCACGATGGTTTGATTCCAGTGCTCTTTGCTGATCCGGTATAGGGCCGGGAACATGATGGGCATGATGACCGCGTTGTTCTCCTCGATGAGCGACATGGCGTATTCATTGTTCCACAGATATAGAGCCCGCTCAGCAACCTATAAATCACAAGATGGTTTATTTCTTTGGAAAATAATTAGATAGATTCCGAAGACTCACCTGAAAATGTGGACTCGAAACGCATTTGGCAATTTGACGGAACAACGGCTCCTGGATCTTGACAAATTGCGGCGGATCGATGACGTCTAAGATCTCCTCAATCTCGCCCAAGAACATGACCTCCTTTTGGGAACACGTCTTGGGCCAGAACTTCAACAGGCCACGCACCACCGGCTCGGTGAGGAATGGATCCTTCTCTAGGAATTGGACAATGCAGTACGCGAGTTGGGCATGGTAGAGCGACAGGCATTTGACTTTGTGCAGCGGCAACAGGACCTTGACAAGGAATTGCTTGTGTTCGGCCTTCAGTGGTAAAGCAAATCCGTTGATGATACTATTTAGAAGAGGAAATCGAATTAGTATGAGTCTACCAGTAAGATCAGTGTCCTAATTACCTTCCGAGGATTTCCAAGAGCTCGCCGACTCCATTGAAATGCTCCGTCTCATAAATGAATCGCAAAAATATGTTGTTGATCTGTTTTCGTATAAAAGCCCGCAGACCCAAGAATTTTCCGTAGATGCGATGCAACACCGTCTTGAGGAAGTCCCGCTCTCGTGGGTCCTCTGAATCAAACAGTTCCAACAACTGCAGAGACAATAATGTTAGTATTTGGAATATATTTGAAGATTCTTGAAGGACCTACCTGCAAAACGAACTTTTGATCAATCACCCGCTTGCCGATAGTGGCCTGGAAATCCTGAGATTCCAGAAAGCGTAGAAAGACCTCGTAGACCAGCTGTAGGTGCGGCCAAGAGGCCTCCAGGGTCGGATCATCCTCCTCGGGATCAAAGTCGGGATTTTCACTTGGCGGCAGCGTCCGAAATAGGTTGCAAGATATCTATATAGAGATAAAAGATAATATTACTAACTTACTATTACTTATATTAGTAGAAAGAGTGGTATAATTACCATGCGAATTATTTCCGGATAGACCGGCTCCGTAAGCACACCACGGCCATGTGTTATATAGGTCGATAGATCGTTCAGAGCGGCCCTTTTGATCTCCTTGCCCTTCAAGTCCGTCACGGGATCCATAAAGTCAAAGGAGACGCAACACTGGCGCAACTTCCTTATAAACAGCTCCTCCTGTTCTAGGCTGGAGCAATCGGCTAAAGAAATAGAGGTTGTCTTAGCATCTAAACACAGTAACTAGTGTTAGTTAGAGTTACCTTTTAATGGCGGCAATTGCTGAAGCTCAACATCCTGAGAATTTCTGTAGCGCGAGGAACCTTGACTCTTTTTACCCTTCTTCTTGAGCGAACGTTTGGCGAACGGGTCGATTCGATCCACAAACGTGCCCGATGACATCTTTTCAGATTTGGGTTCGTTTGAATCGATGGCGGTGGTCTCCGTGGCTGACTGTGTGGTATTCAGCTTGCCGGCTTTATTTCTAACGCTTGCCACTGAAAATAGATCTGCTGCACCACCAGTTGCAGCTGCTCCTCCTCCCTCAACTGCGCCCTGCCCCTGACCAGGACCTTTCCCAGCAGTGCCCTTCCCACCGTTGCCCTCGCCAACGCCCTCGTCGCCGTCTTCGCCGAAATCGCTGCTGAGGATCTCGACTGGCCGTTTGTTTCGAGATTTGCGTAGCCAACCGAAAATTTTATGGGTTATGTTGGCGACTTTGGCGGTTGAGTTGGGCGTCTTGCAATTGTTTGTGGCACCGTTGGGTAACTCCAACAGCTCTCCTTGGTTCGTTTCCTGACCAATCAGCAACTGCAACGTCTCCTTGGACTTTTTCTTCTTGCCTTTCTTTCCCTTCAGACCGTTTGCCTTCTGGTGCTCTTGCTGCTGTTGAAGTTGCTGGAGCAGCTTCTGTTGCTGGGTGATGCTGATGGCGGTGTTGAAGCGGTAACGACTTATCTTGGCATTTATCTTATGGTAGCTGTGGGGCGTGAAATGTCGTCTTACTTCTCTTCTGAAGCTCTGCGCTGCTATTTGGTTTTAAATTCGTTACAGTTGTATGTACACTGAAATAAAGGTGGGGGTGAGTGGGTGAGTGACTTTATCACCTTCCTATAGTCATGTCTAGAGACTCACCTGTGCTTCTTGGTTCGATTTCCGTAGGTTTCTGGTTACTGTTTTTGTATTGTTTACTGGAGGGATTGTTGCATCGACTCTCGTTAATACTCTCGCTTAGCGTCTACGTTGCTCCACCTTGGCTTCTGCTGCTCCTTCGGCTGCTCCTGAATGGCACATCAATTTGGTTGAACTTCTAGAGAGAGAGAGAGCTGCTCACTGTTGATGGCTGCATTCACATAGTAGTCTACTAGTCCGATCTCTGGATATGGGGCATCACATGCACTGCAAGTTGGAAGAAAGAGGAATATGGCCATTAGATAGCTCCACTTATCTTTGAAAATTACTCAAAAATTGACATCGCAGCACCTACAGAAGCAAATATTCTGATAAAATGACAAAAAAAACGAAATAATTGTATATATTTGGTGGCCCTCGTGTGTATCTAATCACAGGCTTTGCAAGGTGCCTACATATATATAGCATATAGTACATAAGGGTGTGAGTATGAGGAGATAATGGCTTTGACTGTGATTTCTTTGTTGGCGGATAACAGTTAACAGATAACTGATAAAAAAAAAAGAGCTATAAGGAGAGAGAGAGCCTAGCTACATCCATATGTGGGTATAGCTTAAAGTTCTTTTCAAAATTTTAAACTTTTGGCTTTAATATTGCTCTTAAAATACAGTTCCACCATTGCTGAAGCCTGGCTAGTCAGAGCCACTAGCACTTGAATTAAATCAACTCGCCACTGCCGGTAAATGGCTCTCCTCCGACCGACCGGAAGTCAGATGGCGCTGTCATCTTGAAACGGAAATGAAGGAAACTCATTCGTTTGCATGGCCAGTTAGACCATGGTTTGAACTTCAATTCCACAAAAAAAACTGTAAGGCTAGTGAGTGGGTGAGAGTCACAGGAAAGTGCCACATGCCACATGCAATATGCCACATGTGTGCTGTTGCTGCTGCTGCTGCACAGTTTTCACTTCGAGGACATCGAGGCGGAACTTGTTCACTGTTTCACACTAGTTTCCAGTTAAGAGCACAAATTTGCACAAATGCAAGTCCATCCCACAGTCGATTCCCAGCGAAAACATGTTTAACATGTCACACACACACATACACACAGCCAGGCATACACCCACAACCGCCGACTGGGGGAGAGCCGACCGACCACAGGGCGTATGAGTGACAAACAGGTAAATGCGATCAACTCGCTCCGGCTAGTGCCTGGCCGGCGGAAAAAGCGTGGGTGGCTTTCATACAGAGAGAGAAAAAATAAACACATAATTTATTAATATTTTTGTAAATGAAATATATCTTTTTCTTATTTATAAATTAAAGAATTAGTGTTATGATAGCCGGGCTATGACACATATTTTAATATTTCTCTCCCTGTGAAAAACTAGAAAGTGGTTACCAGTGTAGTGTGTGTGTGTTGGCCAACCGGAACTTGACTTGGCCAGCAAAGAGAGAGCCACAGTTTGCACAGCTGCCCGAGGTGCCTTTTTTGTGGTCATCGCAGTATTGTCCCCCCTCGACGAGTACCTGAATCTATGCACTAACGTGTTACATTTTTGATTCAATCAGCCATCCCGGGCTGGCCATTTATTATGACATTTTCTATGAAACCCCAGACCCAGACCCAGGCCTAGGCCCATCCCAAAGTCCCAAGACAAATGAGTGAAACAATGGCTGACCATTAGTCCCGGCTGACCATCCCCCCCTGACCAACCGTTAGGGTTTGTGCGTGTGGTGACCTTATGACATTATTTACTCGCCAGCGGAGGCCAAATTCCCCAGCATATCATCGCCGAAAAAACAATAACAAATAGCCAGGGCGGCGCTCACTGAGAAAATAATGAGACAAGTCCGACTGACCTCTCGCCTCCCACTAGCTGGGGGCTGGATGGGGGCCCTGGTTCTCTATTTTTTCTTTGCTTTTCTTAGTGTTTGTTTTGGTGGTCTGTTGGGCTGTTGTTTCTGTTGGCATTTATAAGATTTTTCGCCGCCAGCTCCAGCCCCCAAACACACAGTCATCTTAATGACTAAGCGCCGAGGAAAAGTCTCGGACTTGGAATCCATGTCCACCATCCTGTCTCTCTGTCTAATAGTACCTCTTCGACGCATGTCTATTGGTTTTCCATTTCTAATCAATAAGCCAACATTTCTCAAGTCTATTACTCATAAACTTAGTACATACTATTTTTAGTGGCTATCTTTAGCATAAAACTGGAAGCAGGAATTAATGCATATTTCCAGCTATCTGCTTTTTTTTTTAGACTTTTAAGTGCCAAGTACTTACGTTGTTTACCAGCCACTTAACTAAACTTGTAACCAAATAGTGAGTACTTTGCTAGAGATATCATAGATAGTGCTGTAATCCACTAGCTCGGTTTGCTTTGAAACTATCTATAAGATACTTCTCCACCTATAGAGCCCTTTTCTGGCTCTCATTTAAAGACCATCCTTCCCAAATAAAACATATTCCTGCCTTGAAAGTCTTGTTAACTTTTTTGATATTCCGGTTGTGTAAGGCAGAGGAGGAGGTGTTGTGGTGATAAGAAAAGTTCCTCCTCCTTAGCCCTGCCCCCTCCCCTCTAGTGTAAAAAGTACTGCGCACTTTTTTCGTTTTTGCAGCGTACTTGAGAAACTAACAGGAGAGGAGGCGCGGCTTCGTGGGGCTTCAAACTACGCAGTAAACGGTGGCACGTCGCCATCCTCGCCTGCCACAACGCCAGCACCATCCTTTTGTGCAACGCACGAGAGGCGAGTTCATGGTCGGTGAGAATCTCATTTCAACGCAGAGGCAGAGGCAGAGGCAGCAGCATCTTCAGCATCTCCAGCAAGGCATGACAGTGAAAATGGGGAAATGCATCAAATTACTGGCATGGCTGGCATGCACACACACCTGGGAGGCAGCACACACACCTTTAGTGGCAGATAATATTAGAAACTGCGTTTCGTTGCGTGTCTACATGGAATATCTATCATGTACTTGAATGAAAGCCTGTTGCCAGAGTCGCTATTATATTGGAGATATATTCGGGGGCGGGCACTGCGCATTTGCAACTGCAGTATCTCATCATTGGGAGGGACCTTGACCTTACCGAAGTGGGATACACACAGAGAGAAGCCCTCCCGGCACTGTGATATCCATGGAATCAATCAAATCAGCGCGCACAGTCCTCTTCTCCAGCTTGCATATGCAACAGCCATCCCATCCAGTGGAGGGGCCATGTGGCAAGAACAAAATGCAAATATATATATGGCATGTATCTCGCACTTGCACCCCCCACTTTCCAACCCACTTGTCCTTCCACCCACCACCCACTGCAGCCCATCGTGCAGTGTGTATAATTTACATAAAGTGAAAGGAAATGGAACAATAAGTTTTATAAGATTTCGTGCCATAGCCCCCATCAGTAGAATCAACAGCAGGCGCTGCTGCCCCATCAGCTGCAGGAGCAGCGAAAGTTGCCACAATGTAAGCAAGTACTTGGGATGCCTCAAGGCAAGCCAATACTAGGAAAAAATACTTACAACAAGCTATCTTAGTTATAAGAGGAGACTAATAAAGGGACTAAAGTATTTCTTTCACTTTAGAACCTCCATGGAAATGTCACCAGTGGGGTGGTGGTCAGTGCTTTCTCCCACCCCCCCATCTGGTCTGCATTTTTGATTCTTGTTTGGGGTTTACTTTAGTGACGAATACACACACCACTGCTGGCCAGAAATTAGATGAGATTTCCCGGGGAATTGGGTCAACCTGGGCCAACCAGCGGCAGCTTGCTGAAGAATGTATGTAGGAATTTGCATTAAAAATTCAGGATTTCAATTGAATTAGAGACCAGTTTCGAACTCTATGGGAAAAGTTTGACTGAAAGTATCGATTGAATGGCCCAGAGAGTGAGAGATGGATGGATGGGAGAGTGCATCCGAGAGATGGCTTCTGTTGTCAGCAAACATAAAGCTGCATCTGCAGTAGCTTTTCTTATCAGTGCTGGACAGTCCTGGTCAGTGCTGGGCTGGCTAATGCACTTTATTAATTCCAATTGACGGCATGATTCAATTTATTGATAGCTCACTCAGCTGGTGACTAATTTCAATGGACTTTCCCGCACCTCCCTGCCTGTAGCCACCTCCAAAGTTGAAATGAAACCGACTCACGCAATGCCACAATACCAGAAAGGACACACGAGGCTGACTAAAGGGGGGGAAGCAACATTTATGGGTCACAAAAATAGATGGGACTTTGTACTTCTATTTTTGGTTTTCAAGAGTACGTCAGCAGCAGCAGTGGCAGTAGCAGCAGCAGCGGGTCGGAAAAGTAACACACTTTTCCTTTTGCGCCACGAACGTTTATTAACCGACTGTGTGCGTGGGTGTCACCAGCAGGCAAGTCATGTCAGTGGGTGGGGTGGGGGGTGGTGTATGCACTTCCAAGGACTCGGAATTAATGCAAGAAAGGATGCATCTAGAAGCCCACACACACATCAAGACTGATTTTCCGAGTATTTATGTTTAATTAGTCGGAGTGGGCTGAGGATGTAATATTCCCAGGAACTAAATTGAGTGACGAGAGCTCAAAGGAAGTACTAATTCCTGGTAGCCTTTTAATGAAGGACTTCAAAGTCTTGAGGAAGTAATATACGCCATTAGTTTCCCTTGAATTTATTGTATTGACATACAGTGTGTGGTAATCCACAATTTGGGACAACTTTTACCTCAAACAATCAGATACTTGTGACGAAGGAGCACGCCATACTCAGAATACATTATACCAATGTTGGTGACGAAAAAAATCGGAAACAACTAACACAGAAGTTGTAAACAGAACCCAGTATTCCACAATTCAGGACAATTATTAACAACTTCTCTTGAAAAGACTTTTATTTTTACTTTCAAGAGGGTTAGATACTTGTGACGAAGGAGCATGCCACTCTCTGATTATCTCATACTAATATTGGTAACGAAACAAATCAGAAACCAATTAAAAAGAACTTGTGTACAGAACCTCCACAATTTAGGACAATTATTAACAACTTCTTTTGATAAAGACTTTTATTTCACATTAAGAAGGTTGAATACTTGTGACGAAGGAGTATGCCGGAGTATCTCATTCCTGTATTAGTGAGGAAAAATCTTATAAAAAATTGATACACAGAACCAGTTAATCCACAAATTAGGCCAATTATCATCAAATTACTTTAAAAAAAGGTAGAAATATGGTATTCTAGTGACGAATGAGCATGCCACTGTCTGAGTATCTCAAATCAGAACGAA